TATTTCATCCGGTTAGTGCACCCCCGCAAACATCTGCCTTTATCCGCAAACATCTGATTTTATCCGCAAACATCTGCTTTTATCCGCAAACATCTGTTAAAATTTTAATCTCCAAACATCTGATTTTATCCGCAAACATCTGCTTTTATCCGCAAACATATGATTTTATCCGCAAACATCTATTTTAATCTGCAAACATCTGCTTTTATCCGCAAACATCTGCTTTTATCCGCAAACATCTGATTTTATCCGCAAATATCTATTTTAATCTGCAAACATCTGCTTTTATCCGCAAACATCTGCTTTTATCCGCAAACATCTGATTTTATCCGCAAACATATGCTTTTATTGGCAAACATCTGCTTTTATCCGCAAACATCTGATTTTATACGCAAACATCTGCTTTTATCCGCAAACATCTGCTTTTATCCGCAAACATCTGATTTTATCCGCAAACATCTGATTTTAATCGAAAACATCTAATTTTATCCGCAAACACCTGCATTTATCCGCAAATATCTGCTTTTATCCGCGAACATCTCCAAACATCTGCTTTTAATTGCAAATCTCTGCTTTCATCCGCGTTCGGTTTGCCTGTATTTCCTTTGTCCATTTCGGTCCTGTTTCGTACGCAAACGTCTGGTTTCATTCGCGCTTTTTGTTTTCCTTTTTCTCGTGTATACTTTAGTTAAGTTTACCTGCTTTGTCAAATTTTACTGAGCTTTAACTAACTGGTTGTTAGCCGTTCACGGCACACAACTTTATAACTCTAAAAAGAATTATTTGAATAAAAACAACCTGTAAAGGAAATAAGTTTATTCAACACGACATTTTCTCAATGGGAAAATAATTTAATTATATTCACCAGATTTAAATTTAAAAATCAGGTATACTATAGTGAAGAGTACCACAGAAATAATTATTAATTCTTACATATATATTAAAAATATTGGTTATGCAAAAATGAAAAAGTTTTTAAAGTTAGATGAAAAATTCCACGCCTAAATAAGTGTTTTTCAAACAAATTCCATACAAATTGAAGATGTTATAATTCCAAATGTATTTGAAATTAAACATATATGTTTTCTAACAATTAATTTAAATGTAAGCTAAACATTTATTTAATAAATAATTTGAATTTGAATTTGAATGATTAAAAAATATATATTTATGTCCTTTAACAAAGACCTTATTTGTATTTTACCAAATAATATTGAAGTTCAATAAACTTATTTCCTTTACAGGTTGTTTTTATTCAAATAATTCCTTTTAGAGTTATAAAGTTGTGTGCCAGTTAGTTAAAGCTCAGTACAATTTTACAAAGCAGTTAAACTAAAGTATACACGAGAAAAAGGAAAACAAAAAGCGCGAATGAAACCAGACGTTTGCGTACGAAACAGGACCTATGTAAATGGACAAAGGAAATGCAGACAAACCGAACGCGGATGAAAGCAGAGGTTTGCAGTTAAAAGCAGATGTTTGCAGATGTTCGCGGAAAACTCAGTAAAATTTGACAAAGCGGATAAACTAAACTAAAGTATACACGAGAAAAAGGAAAACAAAAAGCGCGAATGAAACCAGACGTTTGCGTACGAAACAGGACCGAAATGGACAAAGGAAATCCAGGCAAACCGAACGCGGATGAAAGCAGAGATTTGCAATTAAAAGCAGATGTTTGGAGATGTTCGCGGATAAAAGCAGATATTTGCGGATAAATGCAGGTGTTTGCGGATAAAATCAGATGTTTGCGATTAAAATCAGATGTTTGCGGATAACATCAGATGTTTGCGGATAAAATCAGATGTTTTCGGATAAAATCAGATGTTTGCAGATAAAATCAGATGTTTGCGGATAACATCAGATGTTTGCGGATAAAATCAGATGTTTGCGGATAAAAGCAGACATTTTCAGATTAAAATAGATGTTTGCGTATAAAATCAGATGTTTGCGGATTAAAACAGATGTTTGTGGATAAAATCAGATGTTTGCGGATAAAAGCAGATGTTTGCGGATAAAATCAGATGTTTGCGTATAAAATCAGATGTTTGCGGATAAAAGCAGATGTTTGGAGATTAAAACAGATGTTTGCGGATAAAAGCAGATGTTTGCAAATAAAATCAGGTTCGCGGATAAAAGCAGATGTTTGCGGATAAAATCAGATGTTTGCGTATAAAATCAGATGTTTGCGTATAAAATCATATGTTTGCGTATAAAAGCAGATGTTTGCGGATAAAAGCAGATGTTTTCGGATAAAATTAGATGTTTGCGGATAAAATCAGATGTTTGCGGATAAAATCAGATGTTCGCGGATAAAACCAGATGTTTACGGATAAATGCAGATGTTTGCGGATAACATCAGATGTTTGCAGATAAAATCAGATGTTTGCGGATAAGAGCAGATATTTGCAAATTAAAATAGATGTTTGCGGATAAAAGCAGATGTTTGGAGATTAACACATATGTTTGCGGATAAAAGCAGATGTTTGCGGATAAAAGCAGATGTTTGCAGGTGAAATCTTATGAATCAGACTTTTGCGGACTAAATGAGATGTTTACGGATTAAAACAGATGTTTGTGGATTAAAATAGATGTTCGCGGATGAAAGTAGATCTTCACGTATAAAAGCAGATGTTTGCAGGTGAAATCGGATAAAGCAGACGTTTGCGGATTAAAGTAGATGTTTGCGGATAAAATCAGATAAAACCGGGTGAATGCAGATATATACTCAAATACAGGTATTTGCGGATGAAAACAGATAAAAGCAGACATAGATCTAAATATATAAAACCCGACGTTCGCGGATAATATTTATACCCGCAATTGCAGATAAAAACCGACATGCCGGGTAAAATCAGATATGTCGGATGAAAACAGATATAAATGGACATAAAACCAGCTTGGTTTTTTATCCGCAATCATTCGATATTACCCGTCTTTTTCAGCAGGGTAGTCATGCATTCCTGTTTTTCTATTACTTGAGCCAATCTATTTGGGATGAACTGAATTAAATTTAATACAATAGTTTGGATTAATATCTTCCCAGCAGTATAGTAGGTATAGTATAGTTGCATAGTTTCCCATAAATCCTCAGATATCCCAAAAAAGCAGCCTGAACCAACTTTTTGGTTTAGTAAATCTTCCTGTTCCCAGCGTTGCTTAATTTTTAATATAGATTTTTATTTCTATCATACCACAGTACGAATTGACCATTCTTCTTCGATTCTTGATACTATTTGAGCCTTTTTAACTGACGAGGCATTTTTATTTTCTACTGTCAGTTATAGTGACTTAAGTCAGTGGAAAGCCGGTTTTACGCAATAATGTTGACAGTTTTCTCTCATTCTAATTCTTGTACGCTTTTTTAATGAATACAACTGTACGTTAACATTCGATTTCCCATCACATTTACTAATTGCACCCGATCAAATGAGTTTTTTTGTCAAAATTAGAGAAAAATTTAAAGTTGGGGTTGCTACCCCTGCTGGGGTAGATCGGAGTGAGTTCAAAGGTGCCTTGTTTTGGTTCCCCTTTCGAACCCTCGAAACGGGTTTTTCATTTTTTTTCTATCTATTCTACTTTTAAAGATATTGGCCATTGAAAGTTTTCGGTGGGACACACTGTAGGTATAGCTACTTTTATCACGACGGAAACGAGACGAGACGAGAGAAAGGCACTCTCGAGCGAGAAAAGAGTATTCTCGACGAGACGATAGACCCATTTTCTCTCGCTGCACGGGACGAGACGAGAGAAGTACTTTTCTCGCCTCATTTCGCGGCATCACTACACGCAAGCCAAACTAAACTCTTGCCTAAACGTGTATTATTAAAAGCGAAAACAATAATCCTTATAATTAATTGTTTCGACTTTTACTTGATGAAACTCCATGTTAATATTGTTTTATTTTAATATAAACTACACTGTTTAAAAGTTTCACTATTATATTTAAATATGACAATTGTTTCGCTACACAGTAGCATCTTCAGATTGTATACAAACTAATATTTATTTTACTTTTATATAAATGATGGTAATATTTTTAGTACAATATTGGGGAAGATTAAATTAACGTTATACAATAAAGAAACAATAATTATGGGGATACCCTGTAATTTCTATAGTTATATAACACTAAAAATTTTTGAATTTATTAAAATAAGTTTAATAACGGGGAATTATTGGTATGTATTTGGTCATTAAGAATAATATCAGTTTTTTTCTTTAATTTATTAATTTCCATCGATTCTAATAAATTCAGTTTCATACTTTTATTTTCTATGTGTAGGATTTTAAAGTTAGGATTAAAATTATGGTTTTCATTAATAAGGTGGTTTGCAAAAGTGGAATCTGTTTTAAAACTTATTTTAATAAATTCAAAAATTTTTAGTGTTATATAACTATAGAAATTACAGGGCATCCCCATAATTATTGTTCCTTTATTGTATAACGTTAATTTAATCTTCCCCAATATTGTACTAAAAATATTACCTGTAAAACCATCATTTATATAAAAGTAAAATAAATATTAGTTTGTATACGATCTGAAGATGCTACTGTGTAGCGAAACAATTGTCATATTTAAATAAAATAGTGAAACTTTTAAACAGTGTAGTTTATATTAAAATAAAACAATAATAATCCTTATTATCCGGGCATAATTGTTAGAAGAGATGCGAAATCATTGCGATGTTGCGAATTAAATTCACTATCTATCTTACTAACATCTAGTGTAATATTAATAAAATCGGGCTTTTATTATGCCACACTTTAAAAACTATTTAGAGAGGGCGACTTGCATTAATAAATTATATTTGTAGTATTTTTTTTTCTTAGGACTTCTATCTTGGGGGTAATTACCCCCATTACCCCCCTTATCGACGCCCTTGAAGGTGGGCGAAAGCTTGACAAGACGCTCACTTTTAAAATTTTAGTCAGGCCGTGAATACTATTTACTAAATAGTATTTAGTTATTTGTATACAAATAACTAAATATATATTTTAAGTATAATGCACGACACATAGTGGTCCTAATATACTCAAAGTTTTTAGTATTAGTAAGTGCCAAATGGGAAGGAGAAAGGCCCTATATAGCCGGTGGCCCGTTAAGAGATAACTATGTATTCTCCCAATTGCATTTTCATTGGGGCACAAATGATATGGAGGGTAGTGAACATACTACCGACGGTATGAAACATCCTGCAGAGTTACACGTTGTGACTTACAAAAGTTGCTATTCTACACAGGAAGCTGCACTAAAACACGTAGATGGAATTGTTATTTTAGTTTACTTTATACGAGTAATAATTTTGCTGGATTTTGTTACTTTTACCCATAATTGTTATTGCAGTTAAAGGGAGGTGATCATCCTTTATTATGGAAAATATTAGACATCCTTCCAGAAATTCAAATTGCTAATACTTCATTTAAAATCAAACCATTTCCACTTGAGGATATAATAACACCTTTTAATGATGATTATTTTGGATACTGGGGTTCAGTTATTACAACTGAATATTCGCATTTTGTTTTATGGTTGATCGGAAGATTTCCTATAGGAGTATCACAAGAACAGGTACTTATTATAATCTATAATATATTTAAATAAATATCTACTCTATAGGGCATACAGATTTTAATCGGAAAAATTTAATAGTCAATAGAACTCGAAAAAAAAAGTTGAAATGAACTTGTATGCTTTAAGATTTGTTTTCCAGATACAGGGTAAGAGATACATGTTAATACCCAGATAGCAAAATGAATTCACTATGAATTCACTACGAATTCACGCGTGAAAATTAAATTCACGCGTGAATTCATATAACGCGACAGATGAGTCCTCAATTGATGCTCAATTTGCCATCACGCGTGAACTTTTTATTTTTTGCGCATGCGCTTTTAGAATATGGATTTCATTTTTCAAAATAATTTAATCTGTCGAAATATTTATTTTAACATCTTAAAAAAATACACAAAAACTTGGTTTAAAAGGCCATAATTGAGAAGCAATCAGACTAAACCAGATAAATCCATTTCGACTTTTTGAATGGTTCCTATTTCTTTTGTTCAGATAAATCCATTGGAAATATCTATTTCAAGCTAAACTTGTTATCATAATATGATATGATCATAATATTAATATTATATAATAATTATATAATATAATATATTATATTATATACTAATATTAATATTAGTATATAATATACCTATATATTATTATAATAAGTTTATCTTGAAATTCACTTTTCCAATTGATTTATCCGACTAAAAGAAATATGAATCATTCAAGTCAAGTCAAAATGGATTTATCTGGTTTTGGTTGATTGCTCCTCCATTATAGGTTATACATTACAATTATAACCTTAAGGTTAACTAATTAATTAATTAATATATAATATACATATATTAATTATTAATTTACCTATAACATATAATTGTGACCTTTTAAACCAATATATATTATGTAATTATATATATATTACTATAATATATATAATTATAATAATATATTATAATATATAATTATACCCAGATAGCACAGAGACATCTTAAAGATATCTTAAAGATGTCGGACTCGGACGTTCATGACATCTTTAAGACGTCCAGTTTACGACGTAAGTCATCTTTAAGACGTCTTTAAGATATCTAATGTTACAAAACACACCGTCTTTAAGATGTCTTTTTAACGGCATTATTAAGTCGTGGCTAAACGTCGTTAAGACGTCTTTAAGATGTTAAAGACTACCTATTGAAAACGTTTTGGTTATGCATTGCTACATCGCCAAAACGTTTCTAATGTATTAACTTAACACTATTAAGTAATTAAAATGAAGCTAATAATGCTTTTTAACTTCTAAAAATAACGTACTTATAGGTACTTCTATTTAAAATAAAACAAAAATTAAATTATTACATATTTATTTCTGCCTAAATCAAGTCAAAACTTCTTGGCAAGAAGAAGTCTTCTGTCTGAAGCCAAGCTCAAGCTCAACAATTTTTTTATGATTATAAATATTTGCCAATATGGAATACACCTGACTGCTTGAACTCTTAGATAGGGGTAAGCCATCAATATTTATATTGAGAGCTATGAAATGGTTCAATTTTTGAATTGTCTTTGTGTCAAAACTCCTTAAAATACTAAGGATACAATTACTTAATCCAAAATGACAATATTGCCCCGGTGTAACTGGTATAACTTCAACATAGCGACAAGTGTAAAGTAAAGTTCTAGCATCAGTAGGCAACACTTGCTCAGCAAAATTTAAAGGTAAAATTTTTAATAAATCATTTATCGCAGAATGAGTTATTTTATGCTTTACTGCCCACTTTGCCAAGTAATTTTCAAATCTGATTTCACTTTGTTGTGTTCTTACTCTCATTTGAGGTACTTCCTCGGGTACTTCTTCCAAGCTTATGTCTAGAGGTTCTTTCGAGGTTCCTTCGATATTTGGAATAGAAATGTTGGAAGAATCCTGCTCAACTCGCTGCTCAACATCAGACGGCGAGTGCTAGTGAGGGTCTTTTTAAATTGGCTGCCCTCTTTGCACGCATATAATACCTATTTATTGAGAGATGAACGCTTCATCTTAAGCACACAAGAAAAAATTTTAAAATTACCTGAATAATTTTCCCTCTTGAGTTTATTAAACCACAGCAAATTCACAAAAACAATCCAAAAACAGTGTTGTTACAACACTGCACACTGCTTTTACTTGTCACTTAAGTTTAAACGTCGAACGAGAACGAAAAACCGCCACGATTAGCTATTTAACCAAATTTGACGTAAGCGGCAAAAATGGCGTCTGATGTCTGCAATCTGCATTTATAGTTAGGTACAAGGCTCGTACTACGAGCACAATCCACATTGGATTGTGGGTACGAGAATTGAAAAGAGGCAGACATATCAGCGCTTGGTGAAATAGAAAAGGAAAGCATAAGGATCTCATGGCGTGACTTATGATTTCATTGCATTATGGGAAATGTGCGGGTAATTTGATTTAAAAACGTTCGCTGGGTTATTTTAAGGTTATTTTGTCTTAATACTTAATTTTTAAAAAACATGTTAGTTTATAATGGTTTATTATAAATAGATATTATTAATTGTAGGAAAAATAACCAATCTACAAAAATGTCAGATATATACCTATTTATTCAGTTACCCTACCCATCATCGTTGTCAAAACTCAAAATCCTACATTATAGTTATTTCTATTACAATGAAGTCGCTGATTATGGGATATAATTTCGATTTTGATTTTTCAACATTTACTATTTTATCAAAAAAAAAACAACCGCGGTATCAGGCATTTATAAGATGTCTTGAGAACATTAAATAAAGATATCCTTAAGACGTCTATCAAAAGACGTCTTTCAGACGTCTTTTTTAGATCTTCAAGACTTTGTTTGCTGTCTTAAGTGGTTAATATTTTACCAAAATAATGAAAAAAAAAATAATCGGCGTTATCAGGCGTTTATAAGATGTCTTTAGGACATTAAATGAAGATATCCTTAAGACGTCTATCAAAAGACATCTTTTAGACGTCTTTTTTAGATCTTCAGACGTTCAGGCATAATACAGACATACAAAAGACATCTTCAAGACGTTGTGTGCTATCTATATAATATAACTACTTATAACTTAATATATTATATAATTGCGCAATGGAGCTGTGCGAATTTTAAAAATGTAACTAAAATAATAATTCCAAAATTCGCGCGTCAGGTAATATTTTGATATTAGAATATTAATATTCTATTTATATTTAAACGTGCAGTTTTTAATCATGCAATCCATGTATTTTAAAATAAAATCGATTAAATCACACGAGACTATAATATGAATTCATAATCTACTCACGTGTGAATTACGAGTTCAAGACTTCACGTGTGAAATCATATAGCACACATTATTCACTCACGCGTGATTTCGTATTCACGTTTGCTATCTGGGTAAGTTAATAAAAAAATGTATGGTGTTTTATGAGTTTGATATCACATTTAAACTAAACAATCCTGCATTGTTCCTCTATTTTGCTTAATTTTATGCGCTCATGACCATATTTAAATTTTTTTGAAAATTAAACAACTTCTTGAAAATTAATCAATATAGAGAACAATAAAGACAAATATATAATTAGATTAAATTAAATTAATTTTATAACCTACATTCAGTTTTTTTAGGAACTAGGTATGTCGTCTGTATGTCGAACACGAAGCTTTAAAACGTACAAGTTCATATGAACTTGACTTCTTATTTTTGCGAGTTCCATCGACTACCTAATTACTTTTCCGGATTAAAATCAAGGACACCCTGAATATTTAAGATTTTTTAACACTTTTCGGATTCAGTAATAGCCAAGTTATAACGATTTTGGGTTTTAAAAGGGTTTTAGTTTTTGAAAATATTTTGAGAACCGCTGGCTTTTTTTATAAATTTCATTTTATTAGGATTACCAAATTACATTTAAATAAGCGCTTTACCCACATTAGCGAATTTTGTAAAAGGAAGTTAATAAATAGTTTTAGTAGTTTTAAAAAAGGTGAATGTGAAATTCCATCAACAACATGAAAATCACCTGGAAGACCTACCAAGCTTTTTATGGAATCGAGCAAGAGAACGAAAAGGCGCAAATGTTTACAAATAAGGGAAAATATTAGTATTGATGGAGTTTATTTTTTGTATGAGAATACATTAAATAGCAATAAAGAAAATATCCATCTACTAGTAGATCAGGAGAAATTTAGCTATCAGGAAAAGAAGCACTGGCAATATTCTTGGATTTAAATTTATCAAAAGCAGGGTATATGAAATTACGAAAAATTGCAAAATGCCACCATTCTAATTTATTTCCAACGTATGAACATATCCTAAAATACCAGGGTGGATATATAAGGCACAGCGGAGTTAGTCAAGCTTTATTACTCGCGACTAAATAAATTAAATATACGTGCAAATAAATAGACTCTTGTACAGTAGTGAATTCAGTAATAGCAAAGTTATAACGATTTTGGGTTTTAAAAGGGTTTTAGTTTTTGCAAATATTTTGAGAACCGCTGGCTTTTTTTATAAATTTCATTTTATTAGGATTACCAAATTACATTTAAATAAGCGCTTTACCCTCATTAGCGAATTTTGTAAAAGGAAGTTAATAAATAGTTTTAGTATTTTAAAAAAAGGTGAATGTGAAATTCCATTAACAACTTGAAAATCACCTGGAAGACCTACCAAGCTTTTTATGGAATCGAGCGAGAGAACGAAAAGGCGCAAATGTTTACAAATAAGGAAAAATATTAGTATTGATGGAGTTTATTTATTGTATGAGAATACATTAAATAGCAATAAAGAAAATATCCATCTACTAGTACTTCAGGAGAAATTTAGCTATCAGGAAAAGAAGCACTGGCAATATTCTTGGATTTAAATTTATTAAAAGCAGGGTATATGAAATTACGAAAAATTGCAAAATGCCACCATTCTAATTTATTTCCAACGTATGAACATATCCTAAAATACCAGGGTGAATGTTATCCTAGAGGTATATCTTCGACCGAAATGGACGACACTTCACTATGTTTGCTTGAATCTATAGAACATAGTGACAATGGCCAATAAATATGAAATTAATAGTAAAATGGGGTTGTGATGGATCATCCGGACAGGGAAAATATAAGTAAACATTTTCAAACTCCTCCACTTCAACCGATTCCAGTATATTTATGAGTTCATGAACCATTGCAATGGTCCAGTCTTACTAAAGAATGAAGATATGGGAGAATCCTCAACCTTCTTCTATACATATAATAATCTGCAGATGTAATTAAAAGAGAGATAAAACAAATCAATGAAGAAATTGAAAATTTAAAACCAAGTAAATTTACAAAATTGTACCCTTACTCGATGCTTTCTACGATCTTAAAAGGAAAAGTTGGACAAGTACTTACTGGTACCCCTTCATCACAAGCCTGCATTAATTGTGGGGCAACACCCAAACAAATGAACGACTTGGACATAATTAAAGACAAATATGTAAGGGAAGATTTCTTTAAGTATCAATTATCAAGTCAGCTTTATGGAGTGTAAACTTGATATTGTATATAATACGTCATTTAAGTCTTGGTCAGCAAGGAGTGAAAATAACAAAGAACTGAAAAAAAGACGTATACATAATGAATTATGCTAAGAACTGGGCTTATTAATATATATCCCAAAACAAGTAAATGAAAATTCTAATGATGGAAATACTGCCAGAAGATATTTTAAAATGCCCTGAAATCTTTTAAAATTACAAAAGAAGGTGCTTGAGTACCTACGCACTGAATATATAAGGCACAGCGGAGTTAGTCAAGCTTTGGTACTCGCGACGAAATAAATTAAATATACGTGCAAATAAATAGACTCTTGTACAGTAGTGAAATATAAATAATAAGTAGTTAAGTGATTAATTAATTTTAAGGTGTCTTAGTGTTTTAATTGCAATTAAGTTATAAAATAAATCGTTTAGTTCGTTAATAAACCAGTGGCGGCTGGTGGATTTTAAGTATACCAATATCTCAGTTATTAGACATGGGACCCACACCAAATTTATAATAGTTTATATTGACATTAAATAAACAAGTTCGGCGCAAACAGAATTTAAATTGAAGTTTGCGAAAAAAAGTTAGTTTTTCCTGTCGCCTACCCTGCCTCCAGGCCCCCCTATTTGAGATAATTCAAATTAAAGTGGTGCAATTTATTATCTACTATAATTTATTGACAAATTTAAAATTTTATTCAAAAAATCCAAATATTACAGATTTTATTAGATTTTAAATTTTTATTATTTATTTTATTAAAATAAAAAAATATTTAAAATGGTATAAAAACTGTAATATTTGGATTTTTTAAATAAAATTTTAAATTTGTCGATAAATTATAGTAGATAATAAATTGCACCACTTTAATTTGAATTATCTCAAATAGGGGGGCCTGGAGGCAGGGTAGGCGACAGGAAAAACTAACTTTTTTTCGCAAACTTCAATTTAAATTCTGTTTGCGCCGAACTTGTTTATTTAATGTCAATATAAACTATTATAAATTTGGTGTGGGTCCCATGTCTAATAACTGAGATATTGGTATACTTAAAATCCACCAGCCGCCACTGTAATAAACTAGTGCGTGTTTTATTCACAGTGTAATGTAATGTAATACAGTATAACCTTTGTTTTCCGAATTCGGTTTGCGGTCTAAAGCTTACGGAAGAGATCGTATAAAATCGGTAAGAAACCCCGAAGGGAAGAGAGGTCAGTGTTGTTCCCAGCGCACAGTGTTTCAATTCACGAAATTTTCGGCAAAATATCAAGGAGTTGTCGGATTCTCCCAAATCCGTACATAGAGGTTTTTGGGGTCGCTGATAACGAATCTGGAATCAGAATTCCAAAATTCAAAATGGTTGATCTAAAATGGCGGACATATTTGTCAAAAAATTGACGAAATAAATTGAAAATCACCATACAGGGATTTTTGTGATCGCTGGTAATGAATCTGGAATCAGAATTCCAAAATTCAAAATGGAAGATCCAAAATGGCGGACATATATGTCAAAAAATTGACGGAATAAATTGAAAATTACCATACAGGGGTTTTTGTGGTCGCTGATAATAAATCTGGAATCAGAATCCCAAAATTCAAAATGGCGGACATTTTTATCAAAAAATTGTCGAAATTAATTAAAAACCCGGAAGAGGTTCTTTTTAAAATGTAAATAAAACATCTTTTTATAAAATAGCTTAATTTAGTTTATAATTATTACATTTTTATGATATTATTTAATACCTCCGTCACAGGATTCGCTAAAAAAATTGTCAACACAAATAACCACAGTTCAAATACAAGAGGTGGGTTAAATATGTAAAATCGGTGTTAAATAACTTAGTAGTCACGAACGATTTACGCAAGTGAAAGTCTAGACACCGTTGCAGCGCGCTGTTTTTTGTAATAAACGTTTTGAGTTAAATCCGAGTGAATCGAGTAAACGTCATGAACGCAACCCAGAAATAAAAAAATCTTATATTTTGTAAATAAAAAACACATACGCGCGCGACATAGGCTTAAAATCGCGAGGTTTTTTAGCACAACCATGCCTGAGCGCCCAAGAACATGTAGTTTTAAAGAGCCGGGGGCAAGTTGGGGCAGATAGTTTATTGATGGCTTGATAGACAAAACTCTAAGCTATTCAACGGATCTTGAACTGATGCCTTACAATCCATTACAATTTTTGTAGCTCCATTGTTCTAAAAGCTCCATTCAAAGTTTGCGATTTTAACAGACCGATCTTGTCGGTTACAATAACCCATTGTACAAGCAAAATCTTCATTCTAAATAAAATTTTCTTTTTTAAATGTACTTTTCGGAAAAAAATATATTGAAAATATTTGAAGCGTTTTAAGTCAAGATTTTTCGAGTTTTAAAGTTTAAATCGTGTTTTTAAAAATGTGTGTCTTCTTCGATTTTCGCGAAAATTTTTTATTTTCAACTTCTATCTATTCAACAACTATTCAGCCTGGTCCGGTAATGGGCCTTCCCTAATTACTATTTTTTTTCTCGATTTTTTCGTGTCTAATGAAATATTTCGAACAATTGTTAATAAATATTTATTATTAATATTAATATTATCGAAAATTTCGATTTAATATTTAAATTAATCCTAAATATACAAAATGTTAAACCAATGTTAATTCTTACCCCTCGTTTCTTATGTTTGTGGTAAATTTACTCCTAAAAGTGGTATTAATTACTTATTACTTAAATAGTAAATATACAAAGTGGTCCATGTAAGGTGACCCATTTACTTATCTTAGCAACTACATACTGGAATAAAAAAATTGGAGGGAACAAGTTCAAAAACCCATAATATGTTAATATTATATTAATATTAGGTATTTCTATTTATACAGGGTATTCCTTTTTTGCTGGGTCGTTACCAAATTTTTTATTTAAAAAAAAATAATGTGCAAAAATAATCTTTTGGATATATATATATACCCAGGCAAAAATCACATATAATTTATATACAAATATTTTTTAATTTAAAAATAATGCATTAAGCATATTAATAAAAATCATATTTTTGTTTTGTTTAACTAAGTTAAGTCTTATATTTTTTGTATTCATTTTGTTTCAAATAAAATGTATTTTTAACATATGTTAATTACTTTTCGTTTTATTTTGATTTATTCAATAACTTGTTATTCTTAGTTTAACTTCAATATCTTAAACTACCTTAAATTACCTAAGTAGCAAAACATTGGTATTTACCATATACCGGTAAATACCAGGTATATGGTAAATACCAAATTGAATACACCCTGAATTTACCCATTGGGTACATACCTTGGGTGTACCCAGATTTCAATATATTGGGTACTTGCCCATCACTGGATATAGCGCATTTTAAAGAAGGGTGATAGGTAAATGATTTAAAAATTTTTTTTTGCAGATGAATTCTTTTCGTACAATATTCGATGCAAACGAACTACCTTTAAGGAGAAATTTTAGAGAACTTCAACCAATAAACGGTAGAACTATACTTCATATAAATCCGTCTGGTTCCAAATATGCTACTTTACGACCACTTCCCAGGGAAGAGAAAAACATTTGAATGACTAAAGGAAAATAAAATAAAATTGTAAATTTTTGTTTAATATATTTACAATATTGCATATACCATAATCTATATTTGTACATAAAGTAATTTAACAATAATCAGGTAGTGCTTTAATACAAATTAATCTACAGTAAGTGATTGTCACTCTTCTAACCTAACCTAAAATGCGAAATTAACCAGTGAACAACAAAAAATCCGAAAATTGTATTTATTTGCTATTTTAAAAAAGACCAAATGAATGCAACATCCAATTTTTATTGTCCCAGAATACTTCGCAAAATAAAAACTATTCACAAGTTACAGCAAGAAAGCCTTATAGTAATAATAAAACAAAATATACAAAAAAAATAAAATAAACAACAAGTTTGGACCATGTCCGGATAAAAATAATTACAAGTAAAAATGTACACACGAAAATACATTACAAAATTATATCTATAAATTTTGTATAGGGTATACAATTTGCCTAAAATATTGAAATATTGCACAGCAACCTTAATAATATGGTGTCAGTGTATGGTAGTGAATATTGCATAAGGCGGTACAAAAGGCTTTGTGGTGACAAGAAAGTTTCTAGGAATATGTTATTGTCAAAAAGATATTTGCCTTATTAAACATTTATATCTATCTATTATGTTCAATATTAATTAATACACAATCATAAATATCTAATACCTAAAAATAAATGATGTGATATTATGAATGAAAATATCTAGGTTTAGCCATATTTAATCTCAACATTTCATAATATGTCAGGATACAATATCTGCATAAACTCCATGATAAGTTTTATATGCCTAAATCATCTTGTTCATAGTCAGTTCGAATATACTGGCAATAAAATGAGTTTACGTCTGTGAAAAATAAATAATAAAGGGGGAATTATGTACAAGTCGGTCGGGGAAACAACGATATTTTGGTCCCTAACCTAAGCCACATGCCCAACAGGACAATATTAACAATCTATGTTATCTTCTCCATATATAACAAAATATATAAATGCGCAACTTGTATTAACTATTCTTTTATGGAATGTGTTTTTTATTAATAATATTATTTGTGTAAAACTTTCACGCATATAAAATGGCACTGCAAACAGTCTGTTTCAGTTCTAGTCGCTAATTTAAAATCAAACTGATACAAGAAATAAATTATTATTTATAAGTAAACTGTATATATATATAAGTTTGTATAACATCAAGATCCTACTAAATAAAAATAAATAAAACAGCTAAATAGTTCTAATTCATCCATTTGCGGCAGTTTGGTGCTCCACACATACATGATATTTTGTGTTGATCGTCTTCAAACTCAAATTTGTAATCATATGCCAACTGAAACAAAAAATATTTACCTATCTTTACTACTCCCATGATTGATGAAATTGCATCATTCTACACTAACTCTAAAGAAACATCGCATATACTACCAATTCATGAATGATTTTGAAGTATACTTATTTGATTTAATATTTTTTCATGATGATTATTTTAAAAACATGTTTGTAAATGTTGATTATCACTAAAAACAGTATTTAATTTGGATTCAAGTTGGTTGTTGGTTGTTTATTTATGTCAAGATGGCTGATCAGCCATTTACGAGTTAATTTTAATAAGGCCTCTCATATAAAAGCAAATCTTCGTGTTTGTTGGTTTGTCTGAACTTTGATATAGTATATGCCAAATCGGCTGCAAAAAACGGATATGTAGAACCCAAAAAATAAACAAATCTAACATTTTAGCAATTTTTTGCGAATTTTACAGTATAAATTTTGGAAAGTAGTGAGTTTATTTGTTTTAGAATATTTCCGAAAATTAAGCAATGGGAAATTAAAAAACAAAATTCACACATACCTTTTTAGGCTGCCTTTTAAAAAAAATCAAAATTTGGCGTTAATACGGAAATTTTCGACCTACATGTCGGAACGTTAAGAAAACACGACTAAAACTGTCTAGTTACTAACTAGTTATTAGCTAGTTACAAGCGGACACTACGAGTTCAGTAATTAGTTATTGAAGATTATTCAATTTTTTTGTGTCGTTTTACAATTAGAAAGTGAATATGACTCAGTTTTTAATAATTATGGGGGGACAGGTCCGATTAATAATTTCTAGCAGTTACGGTTTGGAGTAACTTTTTTCTAAAATAAATCGCAGAACAAGAATATATTTTAACTTATTTTGACGGATCGATTTTTAAAAAAATATTTAAATTTATTTAAACAATTTTAAACCGATTAAGTGTTTTTCATTAAAAAAACATTACGGATCCGATCCATTTTCAAGAAACAAAATTTGATGACTGTTCCAAAGCAACTTTTCCCATGGGAAATTTGCAAATTTAGATTTCCGGTAAACGGACAAAATTGAACGGATAAATCGAGGATTAGGTTTCCTTGACAAATTGAAAAAAAAACAGTAAAAATTTCAACTTTTCACCGTTATCAGTTTTCGAGCCACCGGAATTCGAGAAAATGCAATTCATAGACTCACAAAAAACACAAAAAAGTCGATCCATATAATATATATTATTTAAAAGCACATAAGATGTATAGATTCTATCGGTGCTACTTTACACACTTTCGGCACCGGCCGCCGGCGCTGTTATATTGGTGAGTTTTTCGGCCTAAGCCGAGAGTGAATGATTTTATTAATTAAACATTTGGCTTTGGCTAAAATTAAGCAGAAGGTTTAGCCAAAGCCTACTTTCTACTAGGAATTGGGGACTTACAGGCAGTCTGTTAAATGTTCGGCTTCGACACGTTTTAGCTGAAGCTTAGGTCGGACACTAAGTATAAATTTTATTTATTTACAATTTTTATCATCTTTCCTTCCTTTTCGCCGATTGGCAGGCGACGCCCTCGGGTATGTTTTTCTAATTATTAATTTGAGAAAATTAATTTTAGTCGTTTTTTAAGTTAAGTTTTGTTGATTTGTATAAAAAAATTATATATTTATTTTTGAAATGCAGCTTGAAAAAAGGTAGAGATGGGAATCGGAATGTTTTATTTTAAGGAAATTTTCAATTTTGGAAATTTTCCAGTCGGGAATTTATTTTCATTTTGAGCTACCGGAAACATTTCCGTAAACTTTTCTTGGAAACTTTCCCTGTTTTTATGTAAATGTCAAGAAGTTAATTTGTGTTAATTTAAAGAAGAAGTTTGTTAAAGATCTCATCATCAGAATTCATTAATCGATTGCAAAAAAACCTTTGCATTTTTATGCTTTTAAAAAGGTAAACAAAGTAAAAACAATAAACAAAGTTAAAATCATTCTAAAGTTTTTGTTGTTTATTTGTAGGTACAGTTCAATGCCAATAGAAAAAAAAATTAAGTAAAACATTGCTTAACTCTGAATATGCTAGAATCCAAAAAGTAGTAGTAGATAAAGTACAAGAGGCTGATTATATGACAATTCTTTCAGATGGTTGGACAGATGTCAATGAGGTGGTAATAAATATTTTCATATTTTATTGGTCTGAAGTGCAATTCTATTTTTAGTACCTTTCAATATTCCTATATACGCTTTTTCGAAACAATATTTGTAAAGCCCTTTTATTTAATAATAAAAAAACGTTCGAAAAATAACTTTTAGGGAATTTTTTTTAAGTAAATAAAAAATATGCTGTTAAAGACCGTATTTTTGTTAGTATACCCTGAAATTTTGTACAAATCAAACCAACAGTAACGAAGATACAGACAGCGCTTCAAAGTCGGTAAAAATGACCCCTATTTGATTATTTTGCTGAAAAGTGGTCATTTTTGACGACTTTGAAGCGCTGCATTTTCGTTACTGTTCGTTTGATTTGTAGGTACATTTTCAGGGTATACATACTTACAAAAATACGGTATTTCACAGCATACTTTTTATTTACTTAAAAAAATTCCCTATAAGTTTTTTTTTCGAGCGTTTTTTATTATTAAATAAAAGGGCTTTAAGAATATTTTTTCGAAAAACCCTTGAATACGCAAACTGAGATATAAGTTAAAGTATTTTTATTCAAAATATTATAAAGATAGGTAAAGGCGTTTTAGAGTAACAATTTTTTTTCTTATTATGCGTTAATTTTGACACGCAGTGTAGGTAGCCAATTATTTATTTTTGCAATCCTCCTGGCACAAAAAAACTAACTAAGTGTCCAGGAATTTTCGTCAAATGGAAATTTTTCCATCTCGAAAAAAAGGTTTGTGTAAATCTTTTTAAAATTTTTCATTGTTTAATTTTGGAAATATTCTAAAACAAATATACTCACTACTTTTCATTGTTTATAAATATATTATAGTACTGTAAAATCCGCAAAAATGCATAATGCTAAAATTTTAGATTTGTTCATTTTTTGGGTTCCACCATAGACCCAAAATTTGGGCCGATTTAGCATGGTAAGCGGTTAGTGCGTTTTGCATGAATTTAACACCACATTCCTAACTTTTAGATTGCCATATTAGAAAAAAATTAATAGTCTCAAATTTATTATTATATTTAAAAATTTATATTCTCCTGACCGTCACTCTGGAATGCTCAACAGTGCCAGTTTTTAACTTTTTTTTTGTTATTTTTGCAAAACATATTATATGCAAATTATATGGCAGAATATGTTAAGATTAGTTGTTTCCTTAATTTCAAATCATGTTTTTACTCATTTAAACCATCCATTTTATTGTTTTATAACACCCTGGTAATTTTCACTATGTGCCATTATTACATCAGATTGACTTTTAATTGTTACAAATTAAAATGTATTTAATTTGGCTTGCGACAGATTCTAAAATAAAATGACATTTGACTTACCTCTTCTCCTCTTTGAATTCTTCGTTTAGCAAAAATAATAATTCTCACGTCTCTGTCCACTTCAACTTGTTCAGCAACGCAATTTGGATTGCAAGAATGATTAATATATCTAGCCAAACCACCACTTAACGTGGCGTCAACCACTCTCTCCTCGTCAAGTCTAAACATGTAAATGCCCCGATTCTAAAAAATTAAACAATTAATACCTAAATCATAAAAATTGTACAAATGTATACCTTTGCTTCATATTGTTTTTCTCTACTCTCAGCCAGCTCACTTCGTATAATTTCCCCAATATATTCAATAACCATAGTGTGTTTTTCTAGATCTCTGGCTGCATAGAGACCCAAACCTTGGATTTTAGATCTGTAAAAAACAATTAGTTTCTGTTTCGTCGGTGATAAAATAGGGGCATTTCACACCAAGCGGCAAAAAAAAGTCCGATTTTGTTTCTTTTTTTTAAACATATGCCAAATTGAGACAAAATTATTATCTTCAAGCAGTCTATAATTGAACTTCATTGTCGTCAACACTTGACACTGGTGCCTGTCAGGCACTGCCTGATTATGGCATAGATAATAGTATATTCTGTAACAAGTTTGGAATACAGCATATTCCGCTCGAGTGAAGATTTTGTCACACGAGCCGAAGGCGAGTTTGACGGTTTCACGAGAGCGGAATATGCTATTTCAAACGTGTTTCAGACTATACTTTTTCTACGTTTCCCAAAAATACCATAGAAAAGTCATTTGATTGGAAGAAAGGGAGGTTGGACCGGTCTAAAATTTGTTAGATATTAAAAACAGAGATGTCGCCACGAGTGTTTATTCTATCATCAGATGATAGAATATTTCATTCTGTAACACTTTACGGAATATATGTCATTCCATAGATAGAAGTGATATTAGAAGGTTCAAATTCCGTAATAGGAGTAGAAAAAAACTTTTATGAGGCTAGTAATTAGATCGTTTTTTTTTCGCCAGTGGCAGTGGCAGCACTTGAATTGGGAGAAAATGAGATTAGAACTGTCTGACAGATGTTTTAATAAAATGTATTAATTTAATTGATTCATTTATTAAAACATCTCTAATTTAATTAGTAGGAGCCATTTATTCGACCGAAAATGGGTAAAAAAGGCTGTGACATTCAGTGCCATTTGGCTACTAATTTAGTAATTTCGGCAAAATTGAAGTATTTATAAGAAGATGTTGGCAAACGTTTAGTAAAATTTTGTAGAGTGAAGTGTTTTGTTGCCCTTTATACAGTGCCTTAAAGATAAACTGATAAAATGCGTTTTGTCCAAATTGCATAATTTTCAGGAAACATAATTCTGGTATGAAGTTAGTTAGAATAATTCAATATGACAGTAGATTTGGAATAAGAAGTCCTCTAATAATAACTCAACCTCAAAAAAATGTATCCCTTAAGAATTTTATGAATGTGAAAATAGATGGATCCTAAATGCTATTTGATTATCTAAAGCAAACAAAACTAAGTTTGTTTGGAAATAACAGAGACTTTATGCTGTTTTATAGTAATAAACAAGACATTTCAGAATATTAAACTTTATTAAAAAAAAGTAATTATTGTCCTTTTAAATTAAAGCTTTGCTTCGCTAATTCCATTAATTTTTTTTAAAGATGTTAAAGCAGCTTTTAAATTGTAAACAGCTGTCCACTTCACTCGCTTTCTTCACATACTTCCATGGAAGTATGTGACTTTCTTCTCCAATTTCAGAATAAAGCTCCTATTACTTTTCCAGTCATTTTATTGTACTGTGTGATCTGGCAACAAGCGTAGAAAAGGACAAAACGCGTTTTGATGGTCTATGTGTATAGGAAAATGTCCAGGACAACTTTTGCAGAAGATTTACACATGCCTAGACGCGTTTAGAATGTACAGGGTACTTTCGCAATTTTGAAGTTTGATCCTCAATTGTTGTAGCCATTCGGGCCAGAGGGTCTTTTTGGGGATTGTTAGCGTTTTAAAGCGTTGAAAAACACCGTAAAATTCCAGGGAAAATATGATTTCTTTTTATAAAATTTAAAAATACACACATTTTAATCAAAGGAGCATTTTTATTTTATTTATGAATAAATGATTTATTTTTACTTACTATGGCCATTTAAAACGTTTTTATTAATTTAATTTTTCCGAAAAAATACATTTTTTCCGCATCTCGTCGAAAAAAAAACGAAAAAACTCGAGCTTTTAATCGAGGGGTAAACCACTTTAAAATCTTAGAGACCAACGTTCAATGTTAGTGGACGTTGTGTTGAGATTTTTTTCCTTATCAGTCGTTATCAATAAGGAAAACTGGCTTAATCGGTGCTTAATCAGTGCTTAGCGACGCGTTGTACATGACTACTTTTGTTATTGTTATCCTTAGCCGTTAATTCGTAAGCGATTTTTAATTTTAAAAAATCAGTGGTTTACCCCTCGCTTTTAATATACTACTGGCATTTTAAACGAACGAGTTTGCAGAAAAATTGACGTTTGCATTTTTCCCTATTATCTGTAGAACGAATAATTCAAGAATAAATGCAAAAGTCAATTTTTCTAAAAGTTGGAAAATTTCAAAAATCAACCTTTTTGAAAATTTCACAATTTGTCCGTTTTTGTTTTTTCGCAGACTCAATTTTAATTTTAAAACACTAGGGATTGCTGAATTGTAAACCGCGCAGAAAACTTTGAGCTCAGCACAAAAAGACTCACTTATTGGTCTAATGACATAAACAAAAAAATAATTTTTGAAACCCTATTTTATTATCAAGAAATCAAATTCGTGTTCATGACGAGAAACGGTATAAAATTTCCTACAAAAATCATTTTTCAAAATTAGTTTGTCCTATATCCAGTATATTTAAATCTCGCAGCTCCTGGGGGGCGAAATTTAAAAAAAAAATGGGGTCAATGTTTGTCTCTAACATATATATAACATAAAAATTTAAACAAAATCGATTTTTTTTTCTGCACGCTTGGCGTGAGTGCAATATAAAAGAAAAGTTTTTACCTTGCCAGGTACACGTTGTTTCTCCATTCCTGTTTCATCTTCTTATACTGACTGCTCTTGGAGTGCACGAATTGTTTGCTGTAAGGGCACGCCGCCTCCCCAAAAGAAGCCAACGAAGGCCCCGGGGGCGGAGTGGGGCCAAACATGGGCCTGGTGGTGGCACCGCAAGTCCTCTGGGTGTGCGGCCTCTTCCAGTGCTGCTGGTTCTTTAATTTCGGCTCCGTTCTGGCCGCGCCGGATGGATTTATTGCTAAAGGAAGCTCCAACAAAGGATTTCTGCCGTACTTAAATTTATAATCATTTAGAGTTTCAATGCCCGGCAAACTTTCAAGAACTCTAACAACAGCCGGTTCCGACAAACCGAACAAGTCCTCGCCCGTTGCAAACTTGGGGAACATTTGCAAGCATTGGTTGTCTTTACGCATTCGAGCGATTTGATCGAGGATTTTAATCCAGACACCTTTTGGAGATGGCTCTTTCAGTTCGAGATCGTCTTCGTTTTGTTCCTGGATTAAAACCCTAAATTCGGGTTTGCCGTTAACGTCGTGTATGGAACAGATGTATCTGCAACGCTTGTTCAGTTGTCGCATGCTCCAGAAAAACCTGATAATTTTATAACCAATCGGGTATATGTAGTTTGGAGAATGGAAGTTTTGTAATTGGTGCGGCAAAATCTGACCGATGCTAAGAAAGATCAAACTGCCGACGCGCAATAAGTTGTTGGTTTCCGAATGGTGCATAACGGCTGCAACTTGTTTATTCTCATCTCTATTTATGTAAACCCTCCTCGATACCGATAGGGTGGTCAATTCGTTATCTTTCTCATTTTTGGGTACGTGAACAGTGCAATAAACGGTCTTGTTTTTATAGAAAACGCAGTTGTCTTTTACAGCGCAGCTCAGATGGTAAACGCTGGAGCATCTATTCTTAAAACAACGAATCGTGGCGCCCATTTTGCTGCAATGTACGCAACTGGTGGTCATACTGTGATGTAGTGCGTTTTCCAAATTCATCAAGGCACCGTTCACGGTTTCGTAGACACCGTCAGACCAAAGTCCGCAGTTGAGGTGCACCCACTTATCGACATCAAAGTTTAATAATCTACCAGGTCCATCGGCAACACTGTCGCCTATACCCTGACAGAAAATGCACTTACGAATGTCGTCAGGCATTTTTGGTGGCGTAACGGTAATGCCAAGTCTGTACAACAACTCCATTATTTCTTTGTCGGTTGGTTTTTTGTGTCTCTGAGCGGGTTGCAAACAACCAGGCGCCCATACCTTATACCTTACGTTTTTGTGTTTTTTAACTGTAGGACTTGAGGAAGCTTCGTTTCTAATTTTTAGATGATCTCCTGGTTTGACGAATAAGTTATTAAAATCGGAGCATTCCATCGGTTCGTCTTTTTTATGATTATTATTATCAATTTCCATTTTACCGGCAACTACTTTCTGCTCAAGCGTGTCCAAGTTCTTTTTTAACAGATTTAATTTGTCCTGGGACAAATGATCGATAATTGCCGCAGCTGCTTTATCTTCTGAGATCGAGGGAGATCGGTGCATTAATGCAAACTGTGTGTAACACGCAATACTGCAAAAATACAATTCCTCGCCCTCACTCAGCAATTCCGAATCTTTCGCCAAAAACGGAAGATCGGAGACTTTGCGCTTTATCATGTTGTTTAGTATAACCACGTCGCAGTGCTTGCAGAATTTTGCTTGGCCGTTAAGGATACTTTGAATGTCGATGGGAGCTAAAGAAAAAACAATTAATTATAGATTTAGCTTTTTAAATTATTAATAATACACATGTTAATATAAAAAAATAAATATGTTTAAAAGTTTCACGTGATTTATTTTAAATTTGACAATTGTTTCGCTACACAGTAGCTTCTTTAGAATAATTTTAAACTTAATTCTAATGTTGAATTTATATTAAAAAATATTGGTTCTTAGGTAGGTAATGGTTTGTATGGTACATCTACCTGTGTTGCGTAATATTAAAAGATGATAGTCTATAATAGGATAAACCTACTCTATGTATCGTTTACGAATTTAGTTAGGGAACAATATTTTAACTCTTAGATTGTTTTATACAAGGTGTCCCTAAACTTATTGGCATAAATTTAGGAAAAGATTGAGCAAGTCAAAATAAGACGAAAACCCAAATAAATATTTTTCCTAATTACTTATGTTTCCAAGATACAGGGTGATAAAGTGTTACTTATCATATCAGTTTTTTTAATATAACCTCTACTATGTTAGTTTTGGAAAGGTGATATTTTGCGAACAGTCACTTACTACTAAAACACATATTCACACATAATTATAATTGTTTGAGTGAACACAGTGTCGTAGAAACATTTGATGCAATTTTTAGTTTACACAGTTCAGCTACCATTAAAAAGGTGTACATCTCAAATTTCGATGAAATAAACCGTTTCCGAGATATTCGAGATTACAATAATTGTTATATCGGATTAAAAGGTATATGATGAAAAATTTAATTTTTTAATTGAAAAAACTAAAAAGAGCATTCCATGCGCCTCGGGACTTTTTGCCCTGACCATCACATTAAAAAAGTTGTAGTTTTTTCAATTAAAAAAATTGTTATATTTATTACCTTCTAGTCCTTTAATGCGATATAACATGTTATTGCATATAATTGCAATTATTGAATCTCTAATATCTCGGAAACGGTTTATTTTATAGAAGTTTGAGAGGTACACCTTTTTAATAGCAGCCGAACTAAGTAATCGAAAAATGGTATAAAAACTCAAAGTTTGTATGGGACAATAAGCTTAAGCAACCCCTGTTTCTACGACACTGTATTCACTAGAACAATTGTAATTATGTGTGAATATGTATTTTGGTACTAAGTGACTGTTCGCAAAATATCACCTTTCCAAGTCTACCACAATAGAAGATTTATTAAAAAAACTGATATGATAAGTAACACTTTATCACCCTGTATCTTTTAAACATACGTAATTAGGAAAAATATTTATTTAGATTTTTGTCTTATTTTGACTTGCTTAATCTGCTCCTAAATTTATGCCACCAAGTTTAGGGACACCTTGTATATAGATGGCAGATGCTCGAGCGCTTTGCAAAGCGCTCATAAATGTTCATAAATGCTCGAGCATTTATAAACGATGAAATATAAATTTTATAAAAAAAATTATTAAAAAAACTGTTCTTAACATTGGTACAAATATGTACCACCTTCAGTACCCAGTGGGACATATACAGTGTGTATTAAAACAAATATATGCAATTGAATAAAACGAGTGTCAAACTTATATAAACCCCGCCCACTGTTACAGTATATGCCGTATAATCGTCGTTGGATCTGTGAGTCAGTCTGAGAAGTGCACAGACTTTGCGTACGTCTTAATTACGTCTAATTTAATACAGTGGGAGATATTAGTCCTGAAATGCTGTTTAACGTGCGCAGGAATTTTTATGACAGGCTAGGGTATTGTTTAACTGCTGCTGTTGGCCTATTTGAACATTTAATTTAGAAAATAAAAAAATATTTTAGTTATTTAAGAATTATTTTTATTTGAGAATTTATAGTTTTTATTTTTAACGAATTCGTTTATTTAGTTTTAATGCATTTCTACAAAAAAAAATACAAAGAATTTTTTAAAATCCATTAAATTCGACTTAATGGGGAAAATTTATTTCTTTAAAACTATTAAAACTTTCCTACGACAGCGTTTAAGTTACTGTGCAAAGATTAAATTGCATGCCCTTCTATCGCGGCTGCATGTCGCGCTGTTTCCATGTGCTATTTTTGTTCCCTAAAAGGATTGTTTCCTTACTTTTTAATAATAAAAAAAGTAAGAAAATTAACTAAATTAATTTATTTTTGACATATTATTAATTAAACAAATAAAATTGAACTATTTATTAAATCATAATTATTATAATCGTTCTCTACAGATTTAAAACAAACTGGTAACTATAGTTCGTAATTAGTTTGTTTCTTTTCCTCTGATAATCAGAGTATGATTTGTCATCCTTGTCTTCAGCCTTACTTACTTTAAGTAAGTACTTGATTCTATACAGTCAAAAAGGCCTCCCCTTGGCCCTCCCTTTGCAAAATAATTTTTAAAATATGTTTTTATTAGTTCTTTGTTATCAATATCAAAAAAACCAAAACAAAATCGAGGCATTTAAAACAAAATAATAAAGTGGGAATGTATGACGGCCTTTACTTTTTGAATATTGAGATCTAAGAAATTAATTTGTTTATTTTGTTTTTCTTCTATTGAAAATTTTCTCTTAGGATGAAGATTATTTAACAAATTGTGAAAACTATTTAATTGCCTATAGTTTATAAAATGAGAGTTTTTGTGATTAATTCTAAATAATTGACCTAATTAAAATATCATTTTTGATAACAGGGTTAATTATATTTTGATTTAAAAGATTTTTCATTATGTATGTTTTTAGTGGTGGCACGATAGAAAATAACTTGGTGATGTCGAAAGAAATTAATTTGGTGTTGTATGGAAATGGTATATCTTTATATTGTTAATTAGTTTGTATAAGTTTATTACACTGAACTTTAAGCCGGATTTATAGTTCTAAAAAGTAGGAGTAGCAGTAGCAGTAAGCCAGTGTTGCCAATATAATAATATAATAAAATGTCTCCATAAAGGTCTGCAATGTGATTGGATGGAGTAGGAGTAGCTGCAAGAAAAGATAAAACTTGGCCATCTCTTACGCCAACGACCTTGGTTGCTACTGAACGCTACTCCAGCCATTCACATTGCAGCATTTATATTATTATATTGGCAAACTGGCTTACTGCTACTCCTACTTTTTAGAACTATAAATCCGGCTTTAGATTAAAATTACAATGGGTTGTTATTAAATTAATAAGTTTCTTAGATATCTTCGTTGACGGGGCCGTATAAAATGATACTACTGGTCTAATAGGTAAATTGTCTGTGTAATTTATCCAGTGATTACATTAAAGGTGGGCTGGAGTTCATTAGGGTTAATTTGTTGATTGATGTTAAATCAGAAAAAATACTATTTGCGTTTTTTATAATCTGTCTTGGGTAAAATTAAATATTTGTCCAATGTAAGAAAGTTATGTTTTTTCTAAATAGTCGGTTATATTAATTGCAATAAATGTTTGTCCTATATCTATAAATCACGTAAAGCTTTGAAACATAGTTGTTGTTTTTTTATATTTTTATTTATATGTAGTTTCATCAAGTAAAGATCGAAACAATTATTAATTAATAATAATAATTAACTTACCTCCTTCTTTACCGTCCTTGCCTTTGGTTCTGTAGAGGCCAAGTTTTTGGCTGGGCGGCGAGTTGGTACGCTCTACTATTTGATAGCTTGTTGGTGCTGGGATGTGAAGAATGTTGGCCAAATCTCGAAGTACTCCCATTATATCTTCGGCAGCAGACGATGTTAGAGTCAACGTGACAGTAACGTTTGCGTTATCCTTAGCGGTTTGATTAGCGGCCACAAATTTGGATTTCGATGAGTGTAGGTCCTTGCAGATATTTTCCTTATTCTAAAACAATGTTAATTAGAGGAAAGTCGCTTATTATGGAGTATATTCCCAATATGGGGTAGGCATGTATCTTTGCCAAACTAGATACATTTATTTGTAATTGGATAAAGCACACCTACTAGGCTTGTATAGATTTATACTTAATATTAAAGCCATGTAACGATCAGCTGTTCTGTAATTTTTATTTATGCGTTTTGGTGGTGATATAAGTTTTAGCTGGTGCTTATTAAAAATATTTTTGTTCAAACACAAGTCCTGGCTAGCCATTTGTTATGTATAGACTAATAGTAGGATTGTTAATATGTTATTTGTGCATATTTTTATTTAAACAAAAATATTTCATTGTTTACTGTTTGCCAAACGCGTCCTAATATGGGGTACCTCATATTAACGCCATATTAAAGTTATACGACGATATATGACGCCAATATGACGTGCGATGCAACTTGGGTTGTTTAATAATAAAATATTTAATTTGTTTAGTTAAAAAGCTAAAAAAACTATTAGAGGTTTTAATGTGAATCTGGACATCATATTCAAGAAAAAACCTTTTATTTTTCTATATTATTTTTGTACTATACAATTGCACCAGATATTTTTTTCAGGTACCTTATATTAGGTTATACCAGGACCCCATAATAGGCTACCTGGTAGCCTTATATTGGGTAGACACAGAATTTTTAAATTATTTTTTTACACAGTATACGCTAAAGAAGTATCGGGTTTTCGCAACGCGCGCGTCATCTGGTGGGCTTCGATAGCATTGCGTGAATTTAAGAATTGTCAACAATACATTTAAAGCACAAATTATACATCATTTTTAAATAAAGAAACTCAACGCTTAAATGCTTATATAGTTATGTTAGTGTGTGTATTTTATCTAAGGGATCATGGTGAATTATTGTGTTTTTAATTGTAAATAAAATTCAAGAACTAAATCGTTGCATTTTTATGTTTTGACAATTCGGTAAGTACATTTGTTGGTGCAGAATTAATTAATGATAACTTTACCTAATATAATTTATATTTAAGTTTCGACATTTTTAAGAAATTAGTAAAAAATAATTTTTGCACAAACATAACCTTACTATCAACCATTTTTATATTTGAATTCTCCAAAAAACTCCGGCAACTGCATTTTAAACAACAAAATATACCTACGAATTCATGGCAACATAATATTATATATAATACATAATATAATGGTATTTTACCGTTGAGTGGAGACTTTATTAATCAACGCTTTTAATAATGCTAAATGCTGTTTAAATTTAGACGACTTATTTGTTTGACGATTTTTACTGAATTGAAATGTTTACCCCACGTTAATCACTACTAAAATGTGTATTTATTGTATGTAATAGGTACAATTTATATTTACAGAGATTGTATGCAATTTATTTCTTCATTAAGTTTAACACTGTTTATTGGAAAACCGGTAAAAACTCAACCCAGGATTTCCTCTCGAAATACACCCAACAACACAACAAATCGAGCCACGGTTTTTTTTTCGATATTTTTTAACATTTTCCGGCTTTATTCTCAAAAAAACTCGTTTGTAACCTAAGCGTTTGACAGCTGATTATTAAAAGTGGTACTTTTGATCTCAAAAAAACTCGTTTGTAACCTAAGCGTTTGACAGCTGATTATTAAAAGTGGTACTTTTGTTACGATGATAACAGCCGAGTGGTGGCGCTACTAGCAATACTTCTTTAGCGTATTATGAAAGAGAAAGAAAATACGTTTATTTTGAAAAATCCAGAGAGTGCACGTTAACACTCTATACGGATTCATCCTCTCACAACAATACAACAAAAATATACAAACAATAAAAAATAAAAATATAAAAGTAGTAGTAGTAGATATTCATTTCACATTTCGTCATGTTTTAAAAGCTTAAGCTAGTTTCTATACTATAGATAGGTACATTACATGTTTGATAATGCAAGGACGGAAAAGAGAATAAAAATAAAATAAAATGACAATACCCGTTGAAACACCCTAGCTTGGAAGTCTAACCCGAGGCGTCCCCCAAAGCCCGAACAACAACCATCAGTGCGGTCTGAGCATAGACCACACTGGTGACCATTACAGCTCAGACTCCAAAAGATATCTCAAGTCAGACTCCAGAAAACATCTCAAACCAGACGTAAAACCCCTAATGTGTTTGTTTCTGATTTCAATAGGCAACGCATTGTAAATTTTGACACCATTATGATATATGCAACCTTTACCTCTCATTGATAAAACCCTTTCTAGGTTTACATCAGACTTATGACGTGTGTTATGGTCATGGTAGTCGTTGCGAAATTTTAATGAAATATTGGAATGGCGAGTATTAAGATTAACTTGGTGTATATAAACAGATACCTGGTATTTATAGATGTTTTCAAGAGGCATAACATTATAGTTTACAAAAAGAGCTTTTGTGCTGTATCTAATTGGGAGGTTGTATATATTTTTTATCGCCCTATTTTGCAAGATTTGAATAGGCACAATAAGGCCTTTACGTGCAGGATACCACAGTGCAGTCAAATACTGAAGGTGACAATGGACAAGCGAAAAATACACAGACCGAAGTAGTTGTGCTGGCAACATAAAACTTAGTCGCTTCAACACTCCCACCGGCGCAAGTAGTCGTTGTCTTAATTTTAATAAGTGCTTTTCCCAGGAAAGGTTTTCATCAATGTAGAGGCCCAAGTATTTTATTACATTAGAATATTGTAGATTGTCATTTCCAAACAAAATAGGCAATTGATCAATGGGCTTATAGTGGCTATGAATAAACATATATGATGATTTTTTTACATTGAGTGATAATTTATGAGTTATAAGCCAGTTATGTATTATTTCCAAATCAGTTCTTATTTTTTGTCTAATGACATCTAAAGATTTATCATAATACACAAGCATGGTATCATCTGCATATAGTTTTATTTCACCTAGCAAATTAAGGTTAGAGACAGAATTAACATAAATAAGAAATAAGGTGGGGCCCAAGATGGAGCCCTGTGGCACGCCGCATTCAATGGAAAGGCCGGAGCTTTTCACGCCATTGATATTAACAAGTTGTTTCCTTTCTGACAAATAATCCGCAAACCAATTATTGCAAACACCGCGCATACCAATGAGCTCCAACTTTTTCAACAAAATCTCGTGATTCACCGTGTCAAACGCCTTCCGTAGGTCCAGCGACACTAGTGCAGAAGCGTTTCCCTGGTCCACCTGCATCTGGACATCTGATATAAGATCGATGGTTGCTGATGCAGTGTCGCTGGACTCACGGAAGCCGTATTGACCCTTGTAAAAGAAATCCCGTTGATTTAAATAGTTAATTAGCCTTTTGTTTACAATCATCTCAAATATTTTGGAAAATACTGAAAGAATGGATATGGGTCGATAATTATTAGCCTTGTCCTTATCACTGTCTTTATATAGAGGGGTTACTCTTGCTATTTTTAGTTTTTCGGGTACTTTACCAGAGCACAATGATTGATTAATAATTTTACAAAGAATTGGTACCAAATTATCTTTACACTGTTTAAGAGACCGCACATTCACTCCGTCACTTCCAGTTGCCTTAGACACATCTAGCTTCTTGATCAGATAGTCAATCTCCTTTTCTGTTGCTGGCACAAAGAACATGGTCTCATTGTAGCAGGTTTCACCTTGTACATTCAGGGGAATATTGGGTAGTTTACTAGAGAGTTCACTGCCAATACTCACGAAGTATGAATTCATATGTTGACATATGTTCTTCACATCTCTTAATATCTCACCATCATCTTTCTTTAACGAGCCAATTTCATTGCTTGTGCAATGTTTGTTTTGATTTGTTAAGATTTGATTTACAACCCTCCAAGTTTTTTTGGGGTTTCCATGAGCTTCATCAAACATCCTCTCAAAGTATGTCTTTTTGGCTTCTTTGGATAATTGTTTAACTTTTTTATCTGCCTGTTTGTATTTATCTCTATAGCTAGTACTTTCTGGAAAGCATTTATATTTTTTATAGTAAAAATCCCTAGTTTTCATTGTGATCTGTAGCTGACCGTTATTATCCACAAACCATGGTTTGCTTAGTATTTTAACAGTTTTAGTAGTGTACTTGGTGTTTCTTACAAAGCAGTTTAATAACTCATTGTAATTTTCATCAACACTATTGGTTTCAAGAAAATTTCTATTAAAGTGTTTTAGAGCATCATCAATGGCATCATAATCCACATATTTTTTTGTGTATGTTTTATACTTATTGAGTGGGACTGCAGAGCTTTTTATGGCTAGGATTTGGATGTCGTGGTCACTTAGTGAATTATCTATTATTGCTAAAGACATTATTAGGTTTGAATTGGTGACAACGTGGTCAATGAGGGTTTTATAATTTCTTGTGGGAATATGTTCATTGTAGAAGGTTAGGCCATTTCCCATACAGACCTCCTTGTATGAGTGTGTCTCAGGACAGTCGGTCAGGAGATCTATGTTGAGATCCCCAATTAGAATTAACTGATTGGATCTTAATTGGGAGAGTTCTTCATCCAGAAGTTGAGTTGTGCGTGAAACCATGTCCCTTGTTCCCCTTGGATTGTAGATTGCAGCTATATATTGGTTAATTTGAGGCAACTGGACTAGTAAATATGATATTCCATCTCTTTCTAAGTTTTTTACTACTCTGTGTTTGATATGACTTTTCAAAAAAATAGCACAGCCTCCACCACGTTGAGTTCTACTGGCATACACTGATGTATAGTTAGGGATATTATAATACTGTTGTTCACCTTCAGAAATCCATGTCTCCGTTACCACAAGTACAGATACCTCCACACTAAGTTTGGATATAAGAACCTCTATTTCATCCATTTTATTACGAAGAGATCTTGCATTCAGGTATAAGACATGCATAAGGGGTTTACTTGATTCATTTGAGAGTGATATGCTTTCATTAAATTCTGTCATGTTATCATAATATTGCGCCATTTTGCTGAGGAAAACAATATCATATCTCAAATTATGTTATTCTTTACTACGTGGAGTAGTATTCATTGTCTTGTTTGCTTTCATTCTGCTTATCACTTTTATGTTTTAATTTATCAATTTGCTCATTGCTACAAATTCTTATTACTTGAGAAGTGGCATTCTTCCTACAAAAAACTTTATTATTATTACACCACACATAGTCGTAGCCACATTTTTTGAGTTCTCGTGCTTTGTAGAAAATGTCACGGGTGTCTTTAGGTATATCTTCATTAATGAAGATTTTTCTCTTCTCCCCAGTAAGTCCCAACGTGGTTGAATCAAGGATTCCTCTTTTTTTTCTGGCCAGTAGAATCTCTTCTTTTTTTTCTTTGGATTTGAGACTAATGATGATTGGCTTGAGCGGATTTTTGCTTGGAATTCTTTTTGCCTTAAATTCACTTTCATCTACTTCCACATTCAAACCATTAAATATTTTTTTAATTTCACTTACTTCCGGAGCTTCAGGCCCTATGCCCATCACCACTAAATTCCTTTGTCTATAATCGTCACCTCCTTCATTTCTTTTGATTTTTGCCAACTCATCCTTTAAATATTTGATGTCTGACCTGACCTTTTCTTGTTCTTTTTTCATTTGTTTGCTCTCCTTGAGCATTATTTCAATAGATTTTTGGTATTCATCCATAGTATTGCTGTTAAATATCACTGATTTTTCCAACTCGTCAAACTTTTTAGTAAGGATCTGTAGTAGGTCGTTGTTTGTTAAAATTTGTGTGTTAGTTGATCGTTTTTTTTTGTTGCTTTTCCGTAGATGGCTAGAGTCATCCGACTCACTATTAGATGATGTTTCTCTCCTCTTTTCATGTACTAACAACGATTTTCTTACATCTTTCATGCATGATGGACAAATCCAGTGAATTTCTTCATCCTTTTTACTCTCTAAATACGATTCCGATAGATTGGTGCATTTTTGGTGCACCCATTTTTGACACTTTCCATTACATTGAATTCTGAGTTTTTTTCCCAGATTTTTTGTGCAAACATGGCAATTTACCATTTTGAGGTTATGGTTTAACTTGAACCACAAATACTGTTTAATTCGTTGAATTATTACTTAGAAGGAGTTATTGCCAAAGCATATTCACCTTACATCACTTATTTTCATTTAAAACAAATTAAAACACAAAATATTGGTAAATTTGTTACAGCTGAAACATGCCAGTACATTTGAACTACTCTCTTTTTGAATTTTTTATCTTGCTATCATATTAAAAAACCAACGCGTTGCAACGTTGCTAAACTGAAAAATAAACAAAACTAAATAAAGAAAGTAATTATAAAAATTAAAATGGTACCCCATAATAGGCAACATTCCTCTAATAATATGAAAGATAATTGATATAATATGTATCTTACCTCGTTAAAGTCTTGCAGATAACCTCCTGTAGGCTTCAGCCTGATGGGAATGGGGGCAATAATGGGCACAACAGGCGACATTCTGTCTTTTTGCACATCGTCATCTTCACTTTCGTCGTCACTGATCAGTTTTAGTCCCATAAATTTGCTCGGAGGGTCGTATGATGTACATTCTGGCGATGAACTGCTTATAATGGAGTCTGGTGTATCTTCTCTACAGAACGCATCAAACCTTCTATCCTCCTCACAATCGAATCTAATGAGAGGGAACTCTTGATCGTAAAATCCTCTTTGAGTCGACGCTGGTGGTTTTTCCGGCAATGGATCTTCATCGCCATGGGGTTTGGTATTGTAAAAATCGGTAAAGTTTGGAACAACGGCATTGCCATAGGTTCCCAAAAGGTCCCCGTATCTTGAATCGTATTCTTTTGTCCCTAATTTGGACATATCGCCAGTACCAAATATCGAAACCACGCCATAGTTGCGATTCAATAGCGGTTCTGACACGTTCATTGCGGGTAAAGTTCTTAGTTGTCCCAGCACGCCGTCAATGAAGGAATCGTAGTCTTCGTCAAATTTGGAATTCTTTCTTGGTCTTTTCTTCGGCTGTCCATTTACAGCGTCTTTTAGAATTTGGTTCTGTCGTCTTTTCTGTTGGTACATTCTGCGTTTTTGTTTCTTTAATTCCTCTTTCTCGGCCATCATTTTTTCGTGATCCATCACTTCTATTTCCTCTTTCATGTGAACGTCGGGACGGCTGTGATCAGACACTTCAGAATGCTGCGACGATTCGTCCATTAATTCTTTTTTGACTTCCTGCTGATTTAACATAAGTGTTTGTTGCGAAAAATACGGTAGTTGTTCTTTTTTAGCGATCAGCGGTGGAGTTTGCAGACTGGAATCTTGGCTGCAAGTTGACCTAGGCGACAATAAATCGTCTCTGCTTGAGGTCCGACTGCAAGTAATAAAAACGTTAGTTAATAAAGACTAACCCAATGAACAAATTGTATTATTTATATGTAGTAACGATAAGTTATATAAAGGTAGTCAAAGTATATAAGAGTATAACAAGGTTTTATCAAATCGCCATTTATTTTACTAGTTTTATAATGATCCCATACCTTACTGTAACCTCTAGTTAAACAGGGTGTCACCAAATAAGTTGTCATTATTTAAGGGAATGATAGTACACGCCAAAATAAGAAAGTTTTTCCTCTATCATTTTTGCATTAATGCAATTTTTTTATAAAAAAATCTCTAAAATTTTTATAAGTAAATTAGAAATTTTGGGCCGCCACTGGTTGTTCCTGACCTATGACAACTAACGCAAAATATGCTTGCACAGGGAGCAATCTACATTCATTAAAAATTTACATTTGTGTTATCACTGATTACTTTGTTGATATTTTTTTTTTATTTGTATACTCAGCTATTTTTAGGTACTTTAAATAAAACAATACTTACTTTTTATTGTTAGGTGATTTTCCCGTCGATTTTAAGTTTCACCTTTCACTTTTTACGTCGATTGATGCTCATGTAGCTATTTTTTTTAAGTGTTCCACAAAATCATAATTAATAAATGTTCAACTATCCCGCCGTTAATATCCACAAAAAGTTGACAGTTGCTATCATATCCGGCTGATTTCGAATTTCATCTGCCGCTGCAGTGACAAGTTCGCGGAGTTGTTCTAATGTGTCAACTTCGCTCTGGTACACTAAACTGTTCATGTAACCCCAGAGAACTAACCGATTTTGAATAAGTTTAAAAGAATGCTTGATACATAATACACTGTGCGCACACCTGTTTCTTTTTTGCTTGGATGAATAATATCATTGTTTTTAGAGGTAAAAACAATGATAGGATAGGTCAGTGACATCCAGTGGCTCCCTAATTTTGTCATATTTTTTTTTATTAAAAAGGACAAACTTTCTTGTTTTGGTGTGTACTATCATCCCCCCAAAGAATGACAATTTATTAGGTGACACCCTATATAATTGTTAATTTATAATTGATCATGCTGTATAACTTTGAATTTTAAAAATATCCGAATTTTGGCTAAAATATGGATTTTCTTTCGATGAAAGAAAGATTTTTAAAGAGAATACCATTATCAATGTATATGGTATTTTTTTTAAAGACCCATAGCAACATTACCAACTATCCTTGCTTAAATTAGAAGTTTAAAAAAATATATATAAGAATTTGAATGTGCGTATATCGATAAAATGGTTTTTATTCTACATCGCAAAAACAAGAGCTGATTGTGGAACTGGTAACATTTCTTTAAGAGTTTTAAAACTTGAGTTTTATAGTGTTACTAAACACAGGTAACGATAACCTTTATAAACTCCTGAAATAAGCTCTTTAAGGGGTATATAATAGTGATATAAATATTTCTGTAACAAAATTAAGAAAGTTAGGTTTTATAATTTCGGCGATATAATATTTATGGCAAACCACTATAAAAAAAACAAAAATTTTTATTGGAAGGGAGAAAATAATGTACTCACATCAATTGTTGTGGTATGGTAGGTGGAGCCGTTGACACCTGGAGTTGTTGTATAACAGGATTAGACACGAAGGAGGTTTCTCGAATCGGCATTCTTTGAGGTGGAGGTTTGGGTGCCGGCGACTGCACCGTAGGGACCGGCGTAGATGGCGGCTCAGTTTTAATTGCGGCAGGCGGCAACAAAGATGACAGCGTCGGTGTAATAGTTTTGGTGAGGTTGGTGTCCTCGGCAGAAACACTCGGATTGGTGGAAGCCAATGAACTCGAAGAAGCTGTAGTGGTCGACGGGGCTGGCGACTGAGTGCTCGCGCAAGCGGTGTTTTGCAACAATTTTTTTAGTAAAACATTTTGCGATTCTTCGGTTTTGTTGAACAAATATTTGCTGGTTGGGGGTTCAGTTTTGATGTTTTGTATAAAATTATTTTTTTCCTCAGTTTTCGGTGCCTCCTCTGGTTTTGCTTCAACTTTTATCTCTTTCGGTTCTTCGACCGACTTGTTTCGCACCTTAGTAAGTTGAGTGTGTAAGAGGTTAGTGGTGGTTGTAACCGATCTAAAAGCAGTAACGGACTCCGAAGTAACGTTGTTGGTTGTTGCTACAATGGAGGAAACCGACACATTTGGTTGAGCCTGAACTAATGCTGTATTAAATCCCCTGGAAATGGATACTGGAGTGGCCAAAAGACTGGCTGCCGTGATAGAATCCGGTGTGGTTTTTGTAGTTGGAGTAGCGGCCGGCTGATTCTGTAGCATGGCTGTCAAAGTCAACGAAGGTTTCCTTTGTTCGCCGTTCGGAGTGGTCGTTGGTGTGGTGTTTACAAGAGGAGCTCTATGAACCACTACTGTATTCGAATGCGGTGTTGTGACAACAGAAGTGCTCGGTTGTTGTTGAGTTACAGGTGGAAGTTTCGAGTGATCAGGCATCAATTGTATGCCCCCTACGTTACGGTGTGTGGTAAATGTTGGCGTAGTAGAGGAAGAGACTACGTTTGTAGTAAATTGTGTTTTTACCGTGTTGGTTTTTGTACTTACAGGCAACTGCTTTATACTTGATACAACAGTGCCTACACTAGTTACGGTTACAGCAGGTTGTTGTGGTAGAACTCCTAGGGTGCTTGCAGTAGTCACCACGTTCTTTTGCTGTGTTTTTACCAACGTTTCCACGTTGGTGGGCGAAGAACTCGTTGTCGTCTGCAGGGACAGCAAGTTTCTTAGTTGTTGGGATGCAGTTGCCATGTTTGTAGTCAATTCGGTCGGTTGCGAAAGAGGTGATAATTGTGGAACAACCGAAGACTTGGTGGATGTTGTGGTTACTGTCACTGGCATTTGAGTCATTGCCGGTTTCGATATCGTGGCATTGTTTGCGGTGTGTTTCTTTTCCGGCTCGGCTTTCTTTGCAGAGTCGAAAGTCTCATTGGATTGTTTAACTTTTTCTTTTTCGTCCAGAATTGTACCAGGTTCGGCAGTTATATTTTCAAACATATCCAAAACGTCTTCAAAGGAGTCGAACGTACCAGGAATTGCTGTTCCGTGTCTTCGAGTTTCGTATGCTCGCATAGCGATATCGTCCAACATTTGCTCTTGAGATGGCGTTGGAGACGGTATTGAAATAACCACTGATTTAGTATCGTCGGTGGAATTGCAATCTGTATCAGTTGATATTTGAATTCTATTTTGCGAAGTCTCCTGAAACACTTGAGCGGTCATTTTTAATTCGGGAGTGCTACGAATGATGACTGGGGAAGACGATTTTGCAATTATTGGACTTGGAATCCTCTGTTTAGTTATTATGTTAGTTATTTTCACGTTTTCAATTGTATGTATTGGATGAAGTTCCTTTTTCTCCAAAACCTTTGGTTTATTTTGTTCCTTTTTCTCAATTTTAACGTTTTCTGGTTGTTTGTTTAACACCACCATATTATCAGATTTTACTGTTTTAATAATTTTAAATGACTCATTTTTCGCAAACACCTGTGATTTTGTTTCGTCGGTAATCGGTGAATCCTTTAATTTTTCATCGGAATAGTCTTTAGATTTTGCGTCTTCTTCGCAATTGGAACTGTCTGGTGAAACTGAATCGTCCTCGAAAATCTTCTTTGGCAAAGAACTGTCGTGTGTGGTCAACGAAATGGATTTATCGATCACTTTAATGTTGCTTAATTGTCTAACTGCACTGGCACTGATGATAGGAACAGTAAATTTGGACTTGGAGTTCGCACTCACTATTGTGATAGGTTGACCACCAGCCGACACAATTTTCGGCGTAAGCACGTTACTGCGCACTGGATGCGGAGTTAAAATAATACTCGTCACTTTGGAAGTCGGTTGAGTGTGGTTGACTATTTTAGCGTTTGGGGCAATTATTAGTTCTTTGGCAGCGTCATTTTTGGAAACAAGTGGAGTGATCAGAGATATTTTTTGCGGCATTTTGTTTATGTTTGCGATACGGGCCGTGGTTTGTTGCGAGCCGGAGGCTTTCGGTGGGAAACTATAAACGGTGGTGGCAGCGTATTTATGAAACTCGTTAATATGTTTGGCGGTAACATTGCCGTCGTTTTTAAGTTTTTCCTTTCGAGAGCCTTCATCTATGAGCTCCTCGAAATCCTCCTTCGTAGAGATCGATTCTTCGACTTCGTTTTCTTCATCTTCCGTCGGTTCCGGTGACGGATCCACGTTCATTTCCTCTTGTTCCGGCGATTCGGGCGTATCATTTATCGCCATCAACTGTTCTGAAGATACAATATTGTATTTTTTGGTTTTACCCTGCATTATATACTCGTCGTCGCTTGTGGTGGGACTACGTATCACAAAGTGCATGTTTTCGCTTGCATAGTCATCGACTTCTTCTTCCACGACCATATTGCCAGGAAACAGTAAATACTCGTCGGTGATCTGATCCGCTTCCAAGGGACTGGACAGATCTTCTGTAAGATCGTTTTGCGAAAGGGTTTCTATTTCGATATCGTCACCATCGTTTTGCTGAGCCACAGAACTCAACGAAACTTCACCCGATAGAACAGTATTGTTATCGTCATCGTAATCTATTATTTCGTGGATTTGTTTGGGTTCAGGACTTTGTAAAATCATTAGTCTCTCTTTTGCTTTTTCTTTGGTTTCTTCGGCAATTTTTTTATGTATCGTTTTCTGAACGACATTCCTGCTGGTCGAAGATGAAGGTGGAGGAGTTACTGGTGGAGTAGACGAACTGTCATCGAATTCGTTATAATCTGAACTAACAAGTGAGCTCACTTTATTGGCCACAAAAGATTGCCTGTTGGTTATTGTGGGTGCAGATTTTTTCTTAAGAATCGATACTTTGCTATAATGGGATTCTTTCTTTGGTTTAGGCGGCACCTGGGAAGTTGCCGAATCTACCAACGCATTCGTTGCAGCAATCGGTTTAGATACGCAAGCACCCACGCCGGTAGAAGTCACAGGTGGCGTTGGGACTCTTTTAGCCCCCCGGCCAAAGCCACCCCACATTGGAGATCCACCCCTCAAACCCAACTTAAATGACCCAAACCTTCCAAAGGGAAACGGTATTGGATTTACGGGGTTGCGCGGGTTACCGCCGCCACCATCTGTAGTGGTGTTGGAGACGTTATTTTCCTGCATGTTCTCCACGTTTTGGGGGTTATAAGGGGTTCTTGGTGTTCCAGGATTCTCCACGCTAGTTGGTCTTTCCGGCATTGCTGGACTACGCATACTCATCGGTGATTGGATTTGGTTTACCATTGGGCTTCTTGGCATAGGCGAACTTCTCATAGGACTGCTGGGCGGCTGTCCGACGCTCTGAGAAAAAGCTGGACTTCTTACGGACTAAAACAATAATAATATATTATGTATCAAGTTTGATGAAACGCCATTTTAGTTACAAATTTTTAATTAATTTAATAAATTGAGTGTCTAGAAAAGTTTATAAACGACAAACATTATTAGGTATAAAAAACAACTTATTACTAATTAATTTAAATATTTGCATAGATCGACATGTATACAAAAATAAAGTACATAACCTGTGAACCATTTAACACACTTTTAAAATTGCAATTAGTTGTAAATTTTTTCTGTAAAGATCAAATTTTATTTCTTAAGATGGACCAAAAACTGTTAAACTTATTCACAGTGAAAGTGTGTTATGGGTACTCTACCCGAAATTTTTAATGCTTTATCGGCAACTACAAGTGTACCGCCGGCAAAATGAAAAGGTCAGTGCAAACATGCATATAAACCTTACAAATATTGGCGTGAAGAAACTGTCTAACAATTTTGTATTTTTTAATTGAGATAATACAAAAAAAATCACATTTACTCTTATTTTACTAGAAGTGAACGGTTCACTGTGAACCTTATTTTGACGATTGTATGACATTCGATAACTGATAACTTCAGCCCTTGACTAAAAACCTGTTGCTAAAACGTGACTAAAACGCCATAAAGCCTATAAAGTCACAGCTTGTCAATGGGTACAGATCACCTAGTGTTAAGGAAACATGTAGGTACGATAATGGGCGTTTTAAAGGTGGAAGTAGAAAATAGTATATTTTATATCAAGTTTGATATAAGCACGAGCGAGCTTGCGAGTTAGTGTTTAATTAAATGAGTGTCTAGAATAGTTTATAAACTAGTTGCATACTATACTTTTTATATTTATTTATTTATTTATTTATTTATTGCTAAAACGGGAAAACCCCATTACAGTATAAACATTACATATAAAGGTTGTGTCTTGAAAAGAAGACAATTACAGTTAATCACTAAATTAAAAATAAGTAACAAATTCTTTAAACAGATAGTTAACATTAATAATAAAAAAAATAACAATTCATTTATCCAATAGTTAACAATAATAATAACAAATACTAATTATAGGTATATCACTAAGTTAACAAATAATATTCAAATAGAGATCACAAGTTAAATTAATTCGATTAAAGCTCTCTTAAAGGAACGAAAAGAACCCCTAAATACATCCAGCCTTTCCTCCCTATTTGACAAGTACTTACTATTATCTAAAAATGATTTAAATTAAATATTTTGTATCTATAAAAAAATAGAGTAACCATTCATTTAAGAATTTCTAACCGGCAGGGTTGGGAATTATACGCACAGAACATAAGATTATACGGTTAAATTGGTTTTATACACGTATTATACTGACGTATAAAAGATTATTATAAGTCATTAAAACTTCTACCTGTAACTCAACGCAAGAAACAGTATTATACCCTTGGAGCCTACACAAGGAGTCCAAACTTAATGTATACAAATAGCTTCCTAAAATAATAGGGCGCTGGTGTTCTGTTGATTGTTTGTTTTGTACGAAACAGCACCAAAACAGCAGACGCAATGACAATCTACGCCGCTGATGGTGAAAAAAGAAAACCTAATTTGTGCGATTTAATGGGCAGGTTTTGTCAATTTTCCCTATTAAGTTAGGCCCCCTTGTGTAGGCTCAATGATTATACCGTATATTAGTATAATACTAATATAATAATTATTATAATAATTATAATAATACGATGCAAAGTCGGCACAATTGTTCTCTCTGACTAACGTAAGTTCTGTTTCATAACCATATAAATTTTAGGTTATGTTATGTAGAAAATTTAACCGACGACTCTGATGCAAGAAGGGTACATGCTACAAATTTTGAAAAATTTAGATAATTGCAAAAATATTTTTCAAGACATGCTCTTTTTATTTTGAGATACCGTATTTTTACGGTATCTGAACTTTTTAAGAATCTAACTTAATCATCTTTAAAACCGAATGCTTCTATAATGAGTTAGTTGTATACAAGAAAAATGAAAATTAGTTATATAAATTAATGAAACCGAATTATAAAAGGTGTATAAAAAACGTATTATATGTTCCCAACTTGGATTACCTGAGGTAAAAATGTCAATTTTTTTGTAAATCGAAATTTATCCCTTGAAAATGGACCAACAAACGTTTAATTGATTTAATTAAACGTTTATTGGTCCATTTTCGAGGGATAAATTTCGATTTACAAAAAAATTGACATTTTTACCGTCGGAAATTTAAATCCTATACAGACGCAGTTTTTCAAAGTGAAAGTGAAGAGAATGTTTTATAGGCACTCCATGGTGGATTCTCCACCCGAAATTTGTAATGCTTTATCAGTTAAATCTGGTTTACTGCCGACGAACTCAAAAGGTCAGTACAAAGGTGAATATAAACTTTTTAAATTGGCGTGAAGAAACTGTTTAATAAGGTTGTATTTTTGTATAAAGATAATAAATAATTTTCACATTTACTATTATTTAAGAAAAAGGGCACCTTATTTTGACAATTGTATGAAATTTGATAACTGTCAACTAACATAAAGCTAGCCCATGACCAAAACCTGTTGCTAACTTCATCCTGTGACTAAAACGCTATAGTCACATCTTGTCTATGTATTTAAAAGATTACTTAGTGTCAGGGAAATATGTACGATATTGGGCGCTTTAAAAGTTGAAGAAGAAAAAACATGTTATTTATTAAAAAAATTTAAAGAACTTACCATTGGACTTTGTGGAGGCATAGGTGAGGCAGGCATAGAGTGAGGTGACATTATTTGTTGGTTAATCATTGGACTTTTCGGGGGCATTGATAACGGCGACTGAGGTGGATTATTTAGCTGCTGTTGTTGCGCCTGCTGTTGTTGCTGAAGTCTAGCTTGTATCTGAGCCAATTGCTGTTGCTGCAAAAGCTTTTGCTGATGCAACATATTTTGATGCTGTTGCGGTGTTAGAGGCTGTGGTTGGCCTATCGCTTGTTGCTGTGTCTGCTGTTGCTGCCTTACCAGGTTTTGTCTATGCAATAATTGTGCTCTTTGCATCAAGTTTGGATCATTACTGCCATTACCATCAAGATTCCCTTGTTGCTGTTGCTGCTGCTGCAACAATGCCTGTTGTTGCAACTTATTTTGCAGCAACTGTTGTTGGTTCATATTTAATTGCTGGGCAGGCGGGCTGTTTAAGGGAGAAGGAGTTCCTGGTTTTTGTTGCATATTGACCAAAGGATTTTGAGAAAAGTTTTGCATCCGCATGCGCTGTTGTAAAGCTGCCATGTCAATGGGATTGCGAAATCTCGCCTGATTCGGATTCCCTTGTCTTAGATCCGTGTAGCCTACAGGACTTGTGACCAATCTCCTGTGGGGCGACGTCATTCGTGGTCCTGGTGGGGGTAGACAAACCTGCGAGGGGGAAGGAGACGGTGCCGGACTACCATCGCCTTAAACGTAAAAAGAATTTATATGTGAACTTTTTTATAAATTATTTTTTTAAAGTTATTCTTCTGGCGCTTCGAGAGTTAAATTTTAGCATGCAACGGATGTTGCCCGAGCACTGCTAACGAAAATGTAAAAGTGTATTAGCGAAAAATTGTTTACTTTCCTAATATTTTTTAAATTTACTAAATAATAGTACTAGTTATTATTAATCAGTTATTATTAATAACTTATTAACTAATAATTCTGTAAAGGATTTTGCTTCATTACCTCTGGTTATCAAATTACAGGGGTGTAAAGTCCATGTCTGACGGTGCAACTTCTCGCGGCGACTTTGTTGCGGCGACTAGGTCGCCGCGATTTTTTGGTGGTCACACGATGCAACTAATCAGCTGATCTAACCTGTGCTAAAATAGAACATGTTCTATTTTCATGCAATAAAATCGCCGCGACTTGGTAACTTTTTTAGGGATTTACGAATTTTCACTAAATTTTTTGGTTGGTACTCAATATTTATCAGCTGTGGAATGACAGATGTGATTTGCGTGTGCTTTAATCCGAGTGTTTTTATTTATTTACAAATTGTGATAATGAACCAAATAGGCTCTCAGGGATTTACGTGGGATAAAATAAAACCGATTTAAATAAACATTAAATTTGTTTAGGTATTTTTATTTTTCAACTAAGAAATTTTCGGTTATGTTGGCAATCCTAGTAGAAAATAACGTCAGTTTGGTTGCACCGTGTGAACACCCTAGAGGCGAGAAAGTCGCTGCAACTAGTCGCCGCAACAAAGTCGCCGCGAGAAATTGCACCGTCAGACATGGACTTAAAGTTTTCCTTTGACAAACTTTAAAAAAATCCAATGCCTTTTTATAAAAATTAAAATTAAGCTTATTTATAAGCTTTATACTGGGCGCACCAAGTACCCTACTATGTATAATACACATTGTGTATACTTCTCTGGGTTTTTATTTTATTTGAAGAGCTACAAAGTTGCTTAAATTACAGAAAAGTTGCGCAATTACAAGCATATTCGCAAGAAATTTATAAATTTTAAAAAAGCATACGGTTCAATAAAAAAAACTAAAAATCTTTCTGATATCTGAGAACTTTGAAACAAAGTAAGTTTTACACATTAATCTACATTTTCATCCAATTTATTTGCTACTATGTTTTGAGTTAGGTAACATCACCATATTTTGTTTTTATAATGGCCGACATAAGTTTGATACATCATTGGATTCCTTGATTTTTTTATATCTAATCATGTAATATTCCAATATGGCGGCCATATGAAAAACAAAAGATGGTGGTGGTATATCAAAATCTAGTAGGCGAAAAAATTACAAATTGGATGAAAATGTAGATAAATGTAACCTTATTTTTTTTCCAGAATTAACGACCCTAAATAAGTTTAATAATAGGATAAAATTATTTTTCGAGGTTTTCAACTGTTTGATTAGCTAAGTCAAGATTACAGAAGACAAACTTATAAGGTTTTAAAGCAAAGAATTCAAGCTTTCTAATGAGATTATTTTTTTTAAATACATTCTTTTTTAATCAAAAAATAAAAATATTTAATTTTTTAAGTTTGTTATTTCCAAAATTAGTTTTTTTGGCGAAACGCCCCCTGGTATTTTATTTTTCCCATTCATTTAACATGAACATTTTTCATTTTTAGGCAAAAAAATTCCCAGCTACTTTAAAAATTATTGTTGATTTTTCTTGTCAAATAATGTCAGTGGGCTGACAAATTTTAATATGGGTAAAAAAGTGTTTTAAGAGATAGTAGAGCAGTTAAAATTATTGATGTTTACATTTTAGTGCTCAAATTTTTTTTCACCAATATTAAAATTTGTCAACACAGAGATATTATTTGACAACACCAATCACCTAGTTGATAAAATGATAAATGATAAATGAATGGGAAAAGTAAAGTGGCACCATTTAAACGAACCGAAAAAAATTGTTTGTGTCTAAATTTTTGAGGGTGTGAAGAAAAAAAATTGAAAATTTGGGGATCAATGTAGGATAATTAAAAAAAAATTCTTAGATGGTTTAGAACTTCCATGCAACGTGGATTTTTTTTAGGGGATGAGCACCCCAACATTTTAAATATCAACCCCTGTCGAGTTTCACCTCATTTTAAAAGTAATAAAAAAATAAATACATCCCCTTAAACGAAAACCCGATATCTTATTTGTTTCAAGAGTTAAGAGGAGTTGACTTTCAAGTGGGAAAATAAAATATTTTAATGTTTATTACGATTTTTATAACAAATGTTCAAATTGTCGACCAAACGCTCGTAAATTCAATTTTGAACCTTCAGGAGCATATCCCTAAGGATGGTTTCTTCAAGAATGCGATTTTCCAAATCATTTATTGCAATTAAGATATCGGGTTTTGGTTTATGGGGATGTGTTTCTTTTCTCATTACCTTTAAAATAAGGTGAAACTTGACAGGTATTGCTATTTAAAATGTTGGGGTGGTCATCCCCTAAATAAAAACTCCACGTTGCATGGAAGTTCTAAACCATCTAAGAATGTACTTTTTATCATCCTATAGTGATCCCCAAATGTATTTTTTTTCTTCACTCAATCAAAAGTTATGGAGCTCTCCGCCCGGGACTTTGGGGAAGCCCTGTATATTTATTAGTGAGTAATGATTTTTTAGGCAGGGTAAAACGACATCGGAAATTTTTGTTTCGAAATATTGTTTTTAGAGTGTAAACAAATAATTTAGATGATATCCAAGTGAAAAAAGACAACTTGGGAAATAACGGACACCCTAATAAGTTTAAGCAGCGGTTTTTTACCTTGTGAATGTGGGGTACCGATTCTAGGTGAAGGTTGCATCGGAGACATACCGCTCCCGGCTGCGATTCCGCCAGGGCTCTGTAATATACTCTGTACCGAACCTAACCCTGGCGATTGCGACACAAGTGGTCTTGGACTATTCATGGGACTGTTGTGTTGGGTCATCGGCGAAGCAGAGGGGCTCATCATCGGAGATTGGGAGGCACTGGGATGGTGAATTGGTGAAGATGCCGGCGGTCCCAGTGGCGATTGGATCTGTTGCAGGGGACTCTGTCCAGTAGGCATGGGTCCAGATCCGGGGTTCTGCTTAGCTTGCTGCTTGTTGCGATATTCCTTCATATAGACCAATAAGGGTAATACAAGATTACGTAAACAGTATTTAATTGTTTATAGACAATGCTACGACAAATTACGCACACACTATGTTTATACTCTACACAAACAATTTAAAATTAAAAAAAAAACGTGCAAATAACATTGTAAGGTAATTGATAAAAATAATTAAAAACATAATTAGTATATTTAATACATCTTGGTAGGGTATATTATATACGGTCTAAGGTAATTTTCTATGTGAGTGCATAAGTTAATATACTTAGCAGTGCCTATAATTTGGTAGGTACCTGTATCAACATGCCATGTTGGCGATTTTGTTTTCTGGTCGATTCTAATTGTTTCTGCAAAATAGCCTGCTCTGATGATACCCTTTGCAATTCAGCGGCGTCTGCTTCGGGCAATTGGTTGCCAGATTTCTTAAGTTGTCTTTGTTTGCTGTTTAGCGACTGAAACGATGTTTTAGTTTATTATAAACTGTTGATAAGCTGGAGAGGAATAAGTTAAGTACTCTTTTAAGTTTATATTAATAGTAAACATAATTGGGTTGGTTTATTTTGGATGCAAAAGAGCACCTAAGGTACTTAGATCTAATAACGGTGCGAATAACGCAGTTAATATTTATTTAACTGCGGCCATTGTTTGCTTGCATGCGTGAAGTAATATATCAGCTTATCATTCACACAACTAACCTTTCTAATTTTTCTGAGCTTCTGCACCTCGGTTTCGTAATATTTAAGCTGTTGAGTGAGCACGTTGTTCTGATGGTTAAGCCAGTGCTCATAGACTAACTGCGTTTGCTTATCTTGTTCGGTGACGATGTTTTCCGGAGGCAATGGCGGAGCGGGTAGCAAATTCGCATTAAAAACCCGGTTGGGAGCTTCGACTGGAGCCGCGGGCGCAGCAATTTGATGAGAGACGGGGGCGGTTTGTTGCTGCCACTGAGGCAGCGTTTGCTTCTGCGATTGTGCAGCGGGACCCATACCGCTAAATACGTCAGCTTTCAGTCTCTCAAAGTCCTGGTCGCTTAGTAACGATTCGGAGGAATCGACCACCCCTGTGGAGGACGTCACCTCCTGGTGGGAGGTCTGGTTTTGTTGGTGTTGCTGCTTTTCCTGCTCACGCTTTTCCTGCTCGAGAAGTTCTTCCAACAGCAACGGCTGCTCCTAAACGCAATCGCGATTTCGTTTACCCCTTTATCAATTACTTTTCGTTCAACTTATATCAGTGAGTTTTCAAAATAAAATATTAATAACAGCTATTAGATTTGTATTTAGCATAATTAGCCCAGTTAAAAAATCATAGTGAACATTTTCCTTCGGAATTTTGTTTATTTGGGTACTATGAATAGCGTCTAAAGTCCCAAGTGAAATCATGCCGGCGTTACCAAATATCATATATCAAAGGTGACGAAAATTATGTTTTAGTAGACATAAACAATAAAGCGGCCGAAAAATAATACTTTGTCGGCCGCTTTCATTATTTTCCGTTTTGTGGTGGCGCAATCTATTGTTGATTATCAAAAGCAGTCAAAAAAGTAATTTTTTTGCACCCACTATGGAAACCGAGCTATGGTTACATTGTTTACAGCAAGTAAGTTGAATTTACCGTGAGAGGCTAGTTGCTATTGACGACGGGAGGTAAGTGAGTTACTTATCTCCCATAGGTAAACAACGTCTTAATAACGACAAAATCATAGCAAGTCACATACTTTAATGTCAAATTAAATTGATCAAAAAAGTATTTTTATTACAAGAATGGGAGCAGATAAAACGTTATACACCACGCAGGAGGTAAGTTTTGACCAGTCTCGGACTCTATTGCCAGCCGTCGGACGCTCGGGCGCAAACTCGTTCTAGACTGGTAAAATCTACTTACCTTCTTTGTAGTGTAATATACTTTTATCCGAAATCGGCAGTAAAGTAGTCAACAATCGGCAGATAAGTAAAAGAAATCGGCAGTAAAGTAGAACTTTACTGCCGATTTAATACGAGAGTATTGTATGCAACCCATTATACATTTTAAGATGTGTCTACTGCTCCTCAGCAGCAACTAAATATATATTAATAATAATATTTAAAAAAAAAGCACTGTCGCGAAGTCGATTGGACCCTTTCATAAAAATAATAAGTTAATTTTATTAATTAGATTAAAAAATCGCCGCGGCGGGCAAATATATAATAACCGTCGCAACAAACAGTATACGTAGACACTTCCTACATTCAAATGACATTTGATTTGATCATCAAATGATATTTGATTTAATCATCAATATTAATTATTAGTATTAAAAAATGTGATTTCGGATAAAATTTAATATGCACCTCGGCATTAAAGTCATTTTTTATCACTCACGTGGTTATTTGCCTCGGCTTTCGCGTCGGCAAATTTTTCCACATTCGTGATAAAACATACGACTTTACTGCCTTGATACATAAATAACTATTACATTTCTTGCTACCTAGGCAAAACACTTTAACATACATACATACATTTTAAAATTTACTTTTCACATTTTTAGTATCTTATAAACTGTGGCATACCGTTTTTGAAAAAATGTTGTTTGATACTCGATTGCGAAATTCTTTTGCATTCTCGAATGATTTTTTTGTTCGCTATGGCTCACTAAAAAACTTTTTCTTACTACCTCGACTGAAAATACGTTGTTTCGTCCCCGATTCCACGGCAGAAAGTTTACGTTTGATGCATTGGTACAATAAGTACTTAAATTACCTTAAAATATTATAAAATAAATTTAATTTTTTCCCGTATTTTCGGCCGGGTAGCAAGAAAAATAGTATACACTACACGGGCAGAAAGTGTGAGAGCCCTGAACTGCGCGCCATGATCATGGCGCGTAGTGCAGGAATCTCACACTTTCTGCCCGTGTAGTGTAATATACTATTAATTCTATAATGCAAAATTACATTTCTCAATCTAGCATCAAAAATAACTATTTCCGTTTTATTGAAAAATATTTCAATAAATCAATAATAAAATAATTGTAATGAAGGTCGCCTACAAAATTTTGTGTGCACCACTGCCAACAATTGTTATTTTGTTCTCGTCTTCCTTAATAAAATCAAACTCGTCCAGAAAAAAGTCACTTTTTGGCATTGGTACAGAAATAACCATTTTAGTCGAAATAAAGAATAATAGTTATTTATAAAACAAAAAAAAGCGCAAAAGTTGCCGAAACATTAACATTTTCGTTTGCTTTCATAATTGTCGGTTTTATTGATAAATAAATACCAAAAAAAAGATTTTGTTTGCACCACTGCCAAAAAGTGTTATTTTTTCCTCGTCTTATTTCTAGCCTCGGCTATTGCCTCGGCCATTAAAATCAGACTCGTACAGAAAAGTCACTTTTTGGCCTTGGTACACAGAAATCAATTTTTTCGTAAATTAACGATTTCACGTAGATTTTTGTATAACAATTATTATTTTAAGTAAATGCGTATAAAAATGATCCTATAGAAAATTTACGCAGAAATAGAGGTATTAGGCTGAAAAAAAGAGCACATATTATACAGTGTGCACCAAGTATCCTTCTATCTATGGGCATTTTTTTAATTTAAAAAGCTGCAAGGTCGGTTAAATTAGATAAAAGTTCCGTAATTGCAAATCTATAAAAATGGCATTTAATTTAAAAATCACCGGTTCTCAAATAAATTGAAAAAAAATGAAAACCTGTCAAAACCAACTTATTATGTTCTTGTGAATTTAAAAAAAAATAAGTTTCACATGTAAACATACCCATTTATCCACATTTTCATCCAATTTGTGACCACCATATTGGAATTGGATAGAAAAAAAAATCAAGGAATCCAACGATGTATCAAACTACATAAGTTATGGCGGCCATTATAAAAACAAAAGATGGTGATGTTAATTAACTCAAAACATAGTAGCAAAGAAATTGGATGAAAATGTCTGTGGAAAATGTAGATTAATAACAAAATTATAACGATTTTTAAAATGGTTTATAGAAATATTTTCCCAATTTATATATTTGATGTAAATAGACTTATAATTACGCAACTTTTCTCTAATTTAACCGACCTTGTAGCTCTTTAAATTAAAAAAAAATACCCTTCCAAGTATGTAAGTACACATATGATACTTGGTGCATCCTGCATAATCAGTTTTTCTCGATTATCTTAACGTGAGTTTTACAGTTTACAAGATAATCTATAAAAACTGATTTTTTTCGACATATATAGGTAAGTGGTGCTTTTATCAGCCTCTTATCTTGTACATATATAAGACCATTTTTATGCCGATTTATATAAAAAATCAATAGTTTACTAAATAATCGAAAAACTGTGTTTCGTGACCTTCTGAATTTGGTAACGTCGCGGCAAAATTTTCACTAGGATTTTTTCCGACGTGAAACCTTATTTTGACTAGGCTATAAAATCCTATTTTGACTGGGCTATAAAAATAAATAAAATAATTTGTATGCAATTATCGCACTTTGATATTTACTTTGGTTGACATTCGTGAATCCACAGTGTTTTATCATGCCCTCGAGTTATAAAGTTGGTTAGGCACAAAAGTTTCCTATGAATCCAGGTTTCAGGGAAAATTTTTAAATACAAAAAAAAATAGAAAAAAAAACAGAAAACTGATACAAATATGTTCATTGTCCCCTTTCTTGTTCTTGTCCTTTGTCCTTTTAATAATTATTGCAATAAAAAAGTTTTCACAAGTTAATTATTTTAGTTCATTTATGGATCATAAATCTAGGTTTATGCTTGACTCAGATCAGTGCTGTTGATGTGTTCCTATGGACTGCGAGTGTGAATCCACGAATGTTAACTGAGTACCTAGTTAGTCTTATATTTTGTTGGTTCACATCACTGATAATCGTTTACTGAAAATTTTATATTCAGCCCAAACTAATAATATTAAATTCTACTCTAAAAGATTTGAGAATGAGGGCTGGTCTTAAATTATTATAGCCAATTATATTTAAAATTAGGTATTAAGGATTAAGCTTGCAGTTAGGAAAAAGTGTATATTACTTGAAGCTAGAATTTAGTGAATTTATTTATTAATTAATCATGCTTAGTGCATATCTACAAGAATTTTTATTATGGGGTACATTCTGCTATTAATATATTTATAATTTGATTCCATAGAAAGTTAAAGTTTTCTTCACCGCCACCTATTAGTTATGGAATCAAATGAATAGTGTTTCCAAAAATATGCATATTTTAGTTAAATTTAATATTCAAGCGCATTTTTTGAAACACGAAACAGAGAGTGAAAGTGCGTAGTGATATGACATAGAAGTCGCAGGAAGGCAAATCCTTTTTTTTTGTCCATATCAGGAAATCAATGGGCTAGTGTCTGGCTCACCTGGAGGAGCAAGGGCCTTCGTTCCGGATGGATGGGTAGCAGTGGCGGGCCCTGCTGATTCAGGGGGTGAAGTTGGCCCGCCATCGGATGATATACGTCGTGCCCCATTCTCAATCCCGTCTACCACACACATGCAATTAACAATTACCGCACACCTTAACCAAAAAGTTAGTACTACCCGAGGTACTACCAATATACCGCGCACCAATCGTATTAAATTTATATTTATTTTATATTAACATTTGCAATTTTTTTATATAAAAATTAATTAAATTGTGACCAAAAGGCAAAAACATATTATTGTTTAGGAGTTACACGCAGTTTGTTGTTTGCTTTTTTGTGAAAATTTTAAATTGATTTGTTAAATAATAGTTTTAAAGATAGCCTACAATAAGTGCAGGGCCCTTTTACTATTTATAGGCAGCTGTGAAATTTTAAACTCAGCTAATATCTTAAAAATGTATATTTTTCTACACCTCTGACTGCATGTAACCCAAGTCAATAATAATGCAATTGGGTAATTTCACAAAATATTTTTTGGTGACCCTCACGTATATTTTTAAAATTTTGTGGTTATTTTTTACATTTGTACGATTTTTTTTTACTATTTCGTTATTTTTTGTATGTAAATAATATATTATAAAAATACAAAAAGTACTGTTTTTTGTAAAAAAAATTAGATTTTCATTGAAAATGTTTATTCTTTTTTTGATAAAATTTATTTTTAATAATAACTTATAAATACAGGGTGTTAAAAAAAGGGACAAATATTTCTTGAGCATATAAAAGAGCCAAAATAAGA